GGGGGGGGGGGGGGGGGAACTGGTAGAGCCAAGGGCGATGCTGATTCGCGTGCCCGTGATCTCCTGCGACACGCACCAAGCCAGCTACCCGACAGCCCCACGCACGAGGCCGGAGGGCCCCAGGGCTCGTGCCGCCAGCCGAACCTGCCCCGCCACGCCCCTACGCCTTCAGCGCGTGCCAGGCGTCGGGGTCCGAGCGGGGGCAGGGCCGGATCCAGCCCCCTGACCAAGTGGCAGGAGTGGCCCCCGGCCGCGCAGGTCTTCCTGGCTGGGAGTCCCGCGCCAGGCGAGCCGCCGGGCGAGGCGGCGCCGGTCGTCTTGTCCACCTCTGTGACTCCCGCCGCCCTGTCCACCTCTGTGACACCCGCCGCCTTGTCCACCTCTGTGACACCCGCCGCCCTGTCCACCTCTGTGACACCCGCTGCCTCAGCGAGCTCAGCCCCCCTTCCTGAAGCCCCCGCGCGGCGCTCCTGGCCACGCAACCGCGCGGTGACGTCCACCTGGACGCCCACGATGTAGCGCACGGCGCCTTGCGCGTCGCGCAGGGGCGCGATGTGCAGGCAGTTCCACCACCGGCTGCCGTCCGCGCGGCGGTTGAGCAGCGTGACCGTGGCGGCCGTCGGGGGGTCGCGCGCCAGCGCTTCGCGCAGCACGCGCCGCGCCTCGGCGCAGGCCTCCCGTCCCTGGAGCAGACGCGGGTTCCGGCCCAGCACGTCCCCCGCGCCGTGCCCCGTCAGCGCCAGGAAGCCGGGGCTGGCGTACACGATGGGGCCGCCGGGCAAGCGTGGATCGGTGAGCAGGAAGGACTCGCGGATGGCGCCCAGCGCGCAGAGCAGCGAGGAGGGCAGGCTGCGCCCCGCCGCGAGCGTCGCGCGGCGGGGGAGCGCCCGCGCCGCGGCGGCGGCCGCCAGCCGCCCCGCGACGGCGCGCCCGCGCTCCAGCGCGCCGCGCTCCTGCGCCTGGAGGTCTGCCGAGCGGCGCGGCTCGGCCCGCGACGCCGCTGCGGTGGTGGAGAGCGACGCCCCGGCCCCCTCCTGTACCAAGCCCGTGACGTCGGCCTGCAGGCCGATGTACAGGTCCACGGGCTCGTGCGTGCCGCCCAGGCGCACTGGGTGCAGGGCAAAGCAGTTCCAGAAGGGGGCGCCGTCGCGGCGGTAGTTGAGCAGGCAGACGCTGACGGGGCACTCCTCGCGGAGCGCGTCGCGGATCTCGACCACCGACCGCCGGCAGGTGTCGCGACCTGGTGGACGGGGGAAAAGGAGGGGGGGGGTGTCTAGCGCTGGTGGAAGGCGCGGTCCTTCATGTGGAGAGGACCCAAACATTAAGATTTAACCCCCCCCCCCTTGCCCCCGATGCATGGCCTCCAAACAAAGCGAGCCCTCACCCTGGAGGACACGGCAGTTCCTGCCCACGATCTCCTCTGGGCTATAGCCTGTCGTGGCGTAAAAGCCGGGCGAGGCGTAGCACACCGGCTGGGTTGGTGTGGAAGGGGGAGGAGGCTGAGTCAATCTAAGCTGGTTGATGGTTGGGCAGAGCCAACTCGCCGCGTTGCGAGGCGCGCAATAGACCGGTTTGGCACACCACCACGCACATTATCCGGCATTCGTGGGTTACTGATGACGAAACTGAAGTCGATGTCCGCCAGCAGGTGCGAGAAGGAGGATTCCACCGCCTGGGAGGAGGGGTCCTGCCTCCCGCCCGCAAGCCCGGCACGCACGGCCTCCAGGGGGCTGGGGTCGGCGAGGGCCGACATTACTGGGTCGCAAGGAAACTCTTTAGAGCTACTTATTATCGAGTATGCAGTGGACAAAGGCCCTCAGTGGTGGCTGCTGACAGGTCTTCGTGTCGGGATGTCGCGGGCACTGGGCATATTTCCGGTCAAGCAATCGGTTCTATGGCAGCCACCGAGATGTCGAGGGAAGGAAGGTGCAGGCCTTCATTGTTCAGCATCACATGTGCTGGTATTCTGGAGGAGGGCGACAGCAATAGGGTGCTGGGTTCCTCACCCGGCAGATTTCAACACAGCACATGCTCTCCGGCACGTGGGGAGTCACATGACCATCAATCCACAAGCCCTCACCAACGAAGCTGACCCGTCACTGCCTCCCCCTGATCCTGCGATTCGCCTGGGATCATTGCATGGGCCCCTGAGACCTCTCATCCCAGCCGCAGCACCCCGATGGGCCTGCAAATAACATCTTGCCGCGTCACTCCACCTGCCACCACCGGAATGACAGCGCGGTCCATCCTATCACGCGCGGTGCCTGAAGCCCTCAGGTGGGCAACTAGCCGAGGCCCCAGCGTGCCCAGGGCAGGGATGAGCACCTCCATCCAGGATCTGGCCGTAGAGGTGCGTGAGCGGGATGCGTGCGCAATACGTGTGCCAGGGAGAACCGTGAGCCACCCTTGGGGTGGGTGAGGGCAACCATGCCTAGGGTTTGAGGCATGATGCACGGCCGTCCTGAGCATGGCCCTGCCCCACCCCGCCACAGACGCACAACAAGGGCGGCAAGTTTCGCGTCTTGGTCACCAAGAACCTCCCTGGCGAGGACTGGCTCAAGGTGCTCACGTCTGCCGGCGCTCAAGTGGACATCTGCACTGCCAAGCAGACCATCCTCGACAACGCCAGCATCACCAAGCTCGTCGGCGATAAGTGTGATGGCGTGATCGGGCAGCTGACCGAGGTACGGCTGGGAGGCAGCCTGCGTCTGGCGCAAGGGTGTGGTGCCGCGATGCCAGGGCTGTGAGCAGTTGGCATGGGAGCAAACTCCGTGGCTGGTGCTGCACTTGACTTACCAGTAAGGCTTGCTCGCCCTTCCTGTCTCCCTGCCGCCCATACCGCTTCTCCCCCAAACCCCATGAGCTTCTGTATTCGAACATCCACCCAGGACTGGAGCGATGAGCTGTTTGGCGTCCTCAAGGCGGCAGGCGGCAAGGTGTACTCCAACTATGCCGTGGGCTTCAACAACATCGTGCTGGAGGATGCGACCAAGCATGGCATTGCAGTGGGCAACACCCCAGGTCCTTGTGGGGCTGAGGGTAGAGGGGATCAGGGGTGTCTGCAGGGTTTCCGTGACCATCAGGCGCCTTGAAGGCATGGCTGGGCACATGACAACCCTCTTGAGCTCAGCCATGGGGTGCCAAGATCAAGATACAGCTGGATGACAGCAAATGAGGCTCGCCAGAGTGAGAAATCCAGCTCCCTTTGCCGTGCCTAGGCGTGCTGACGGAGACCACCGCCGAGCTGGCGGCGGCACTGACCCTGGCAGCTTCCCGGCGGCTGCTGGAGGCTGAGAAGTTCATGCGGGGGGGCAAGTACGAGGGCTTCCTGCCCAACCTCTTCGTGGGCAAGCTCCTGCAGGTGGAGTAGTGCAGCGAGGTTTGGCAGCGGAATGCCTGATGATGGCTGGTCGTTTTGGTGGCATTGACTCGGGAGAGCTCTTGACTTGCACATGGGGGTGTCCTCATAGCCATTACCTCATCCTTCCCTCCTTACAAAATGGACCAGGGTAAAACCGTGGGGGTGGTGGGCCCTGGCCGCATCGGCTTCGCCTATGCCAAGATGATGGTGGAGGGGCACAAGATGAACATCCTGTACAACAGCCATGAGCCACAGCCGGAGATCGCCGACTACTTCAAGTGCGCGCTGTTTGTGGAAAAGCCATGATGGAGATGTGGCAGTGACGGCATTCATGAATGTGGGCCAGGGAGGCTGTTGTTCGGGGCGAATGGGCCGGGCATGCTGAGGCTTTTCTTCAGAATGCCAGTGTTGATTGTTCAGTCCCATTTCTTACGAATTCCATCACCGGTCTGTCTTGAACCCCCTGCAGCAAGTACAGCGACTTCCTGGAGAGCCAGGGAGGGACGAGGGTGACTGCCCGTCAGGTGGAGCTTGAGGAGCTGCTGCAGAACTCCGACGTGGGTGCAGATGGCCGTTTTGTTGGAGGATGCGTGGTGTGGTCCAGCTTGCAGGGCTGGCTTGTTCTGTCAGCAGGAGTGCATAGGCTGCTGGGATTTCATCATTGCTGGGGGTCTGCCTTTCCTGCAAGGGACATCACTCCCATTGTCGTCCACACCACATGGGGGTAGGGTGTGGGTTGTAATGTGTGATTGGAGGCGGTGATGGTGGAGCGCCACCCACATAGCATGACCCTGGGATTGTTCAGCCGTACCTCCCTCACCCGCCCCCTCGACTCCCCCAAACACTTCCTCCCTCCAGGTGGTGAGCCTGCACTGCGCGCTGACCCCTGAGACCCGCCACTTGATCAACAAGGAGCGGCTGGGGATGATGAAGCCCGACGCCATCCTGGTGAACGCGGCGCGGGGCCCCAACGTGGACGAGAAGGCGTTGGTGGCGCACCTCCAGGCCAACCCCGGCTTCAGCGCGGGGCTGGACGTGTACGAGGACGAGCCGGCCATGGCACCCGGGCTGGCGGAGTGCAGCAACGCTGTGCTTATGCCCCACATCGCCTCGGCCACGCTGTGGACCCGCTCCGGCATGGCCAAGCTGGCGGCCTGCAACGTGGCGGGCGTGCTGCGCGGCTACCCCGCCCTGAAGAGCGCGGGCGACGTGCTGCAGTTTGTGGACGCCGACCCCGGGTCGGTGCCCAAGCTGGCCCCCAGCATCCTGAATGCCGAGGCGGTGGGGCTGGAGCGCAGCTCCTGAACCTGGCGCGTGTGCAGGGGCAGGCGCCTCGCGCCCAGGCCTGGGCGTGGAGGACCCTCACCTGCCAATCATTTTCGTTCGCATGCTGTGCACGATATCCTTGTGGTGCATGCTGTGAAGCCACCGGCAGCAGCGGATCTCCAACATGCGGGAATCCCCGAGATTCTCCCCGCGCCCCCCGCCCCACGATCATCAGTCGCGAACGGCCGGTCAGGGATCACAACGAGCCGGCACACCGGGGGATTAGATGCAGGTCGGCGCCACCAGGACCCTGTTCAAGTCTCTCTCGACAATCAAACACCCATCACCCCTCCCGAGACAGCAGGCGGTACGCAGATCGACGCGGGCCATCATGGTGTCGTCGGCATCCGGTGTGGTGCTTCCCAGAGGTGCGCGGCCCTTGTCCCTCGGAGATCAGGGCGTCCGCGATGCCGACTGGCACAATACTTGGGAGCAGTTAATAATTCAGCGCCCACACCCCTCATCACACCGTCACAGGCGTAGAGCCCCTCCCGGCCACGGACCAGCATGAGCTGGAGCGTGTGGTGGCCTCCCTGAAGGCCAAGGCCCCGCAGTGGGTGGGCCTCCCCCCCCCCACCCGCGCCTCACTCCTGCGCGCCTGCCTCCCCACCCTGCTGGCCACCGTGCCGGGCGCCGCGGCGGCGGGGGAGGCGGCCAAGGGCTCCTACGGCTCGGGGCGCGCGGAGGAGGCCCTGAACTGGACCCCCATCGCCATCTGCCTGCGCGAACTGGCCGAGGCGATGGAGGCGGGGGGCGCGCCGCCCACGCTGGGCTCCCGCCGCCGCCCCGACGGCCAGTGGGTGGTCGACGTCTTCCCCTCGGGCCTGGAGCGCCTGCTCAACGCCGGCTTCCGGGGCAGCGTCTGGGTGACCCCGGGGCAAGAGCCGACCCAGGGCGCGCTGTACGCGCGCAAGGCGGCGGGCGTGCCCGGCCCGGACGCCGGCGTGGCCCTGGTCCTGGGCGCGGGGAACCAGGTGTCGGTGGCCGCCTGTGACATCCTGCACAAGCTGGTCGTGGACGACCAGGTGGTGGTCTGCAAGATGAACCCCGTGAACGAGTACATGGGGCCCTTTGTCGCGGCGGCGCTGGCGCCGCTGGTGCAAGCCGGGTACGTGGCCGTCGTGTACGGGGGCGGCGAGGTGGGGAGGGCCCTGTGCACCCACCCAGACGTCGACTCCATCCACCTGACGGGAGCGGCGGCCACGTACGACGCCATCGTCTGGCAGGGCAAGCCCAAGGTGCTGTGCGTGTGGTTTTTTTGGGGGGGGGGGGGGGTTGAGTGGGAGGCAAATGCGTTCAAATGGTCCTGGACCGTGCATGCATGGTGCCTGAGGGCATGCATCACAGCGGGGCCAGGGCGCTCAGAATATACTTTATCCATTCCAAGGGGGCCACCCCCCATTCCAGACCCCTCGGCTTCTCTGTATGCCCTCCAAATCGCCCCGTGTCTCCCCCCAGTTCTCCCCACCACATGTTTAGCATCCCCATCTCCGACTCCACTCCACTCAGGTGGGCGACCCGCCCTGCACCAAGCACGTGGGCGCCGAGCTGGGCTGCGTCACGCCTTACATCATCACCCCCGGCCCCTGGACCGACGCGGAGCTGGCCTACCACGCCGACACCGTGGCCTCCGCCCTCATCCTCAACGCGGGCCACAACTGCCTCAAGGTGGAGCTGGTGGTCACCGACGCGGCCTGGGAGCTGCGGCCCAAGTTCCTGGACGCGCTGCGCGCCAAGCTGGCGGCCTGCCCGCGCCGCGTCGCGTACTACCCCACCTCCGACGAGAAGTTCCAAGGTGGGGAGGGCGATTGTTTGGGGGGGGGGCCGCCAGAGGGTGGGCGACTGATGTCAAGTTGATGTTCTTGGCACGCAGCTGGTGTCTAGGGATGGTTGATGATCATGCAGGTAGGATGGAAACGGATCAAGCACAGACCCTGGGCTGCATGTCGGTGCGGTCCCCCCCGCCAACACCTGCACATGTACTTGCCCAATCCCTGGCATCCTCTGGCCATCGCTCCTCCACTGACTCGAGCCCCATTCCCCCACCGACCCAGCTCCAACCTCTCAACCCCCATGTCGACCCCCGCACGCAGCCTTCCGGGAGCGCTTCCCCGAGGGCGTGGAGGAGCTGGGCCTGGAATCCGGCCCTGGGACCAGCCCCTGGCTGTTCAAGGCGGGGCAGAGTGTGGACAGCGTGGACGCCCAGCACGAGAACTGGTGCGGTGTGCTGCAGGAGGTGGCGCTGGAGGGCACCGGCGGCGACCCGGCCGCCTTCCTGCGCGCGGCGGTGGAGTTTGCCAACGAGCGGGTCTGGGGCACGCTGTCCGCGGGCCTCATCATCCACCCGGCCACCAAGGCGCGTCGCGGCTTGCAAGGGAGGGGGGATGGAGGGGTTGTGACGGGCTGGTGCCTGTGCCATGCAGGGGTGGGAGGGCAGGCACGGCTGAATCCCCACACCCATCCCCATCCCTCCCTCTCCCAGGCCGCCCACAGCGAGGCCTTTGATGCCGCGGTGGCGGAGCTGCGGTACGGCGCCATCGCCATCAACTGCCCCACCACCATGTGCTTTGTCAACACATGCCTGCCCTGGGGCGGCTACCCGGGGAGCACGCCGCAGGTGGGTGGCCGAAGGCTCGCAAGCTTGCAAGGCCCCAGCAGGCACCTTGTGCACCTCGAAACCCTGCCCAGCGCCTTTCCTCGCCCAACTTCCCCAATGCCACCACGCCATCATCGCAGGACATCGGGTCTGGCAACTGCTATGTGCATAACACCAAGCTCATTGATCATCCCCAGAAGGGGGTCCTGGAGGCCCCATGGACAGTCCGGCCCAAGCCCTTCTGGGCGACGCAGAATCCCAGCCTGGAGGGCATGGCGCCGGCCGCCCTGAAGTTCTTCGCCTACCCCACCGTGTGGAACATGATCAAGGTCATCTGGAAGACGCTCGTGTGAGACCAGGATCTGCACACGGTCCCCTCACAGGCATCACTTTTCAAGCGTACTGCCCTTCAGAGTGGGCAGGGAGTGGCTAAGTAATTGTTTCCACTACCAGGGCCTTCCATTTCAAGGCCCCCAGATGTTTCAAGCCTTTGTAATAAGTTTTGTAGCCTATGTCTTGCCAAATCAAGTGAGTAGGGAGAGCGCGCTTTATGTAGGGATGTCGGCATCATGTACGAGGAGGCCACAGTCGACCTTTTAGTAGTGCAGTCTGCAATACGCAAGCTCAATGATCATTTCAATCCCTTTGGCTTGCTTGTAAGCGTTGAATGAATGCGAGCATCGGTGCGATCACATGTGCTTCTGCAGCCCACTTCCCGGGTGGCGTTGGCAAGGCCTGTAGTGCGAAGTCCATGCAACCGAGCGTTCCATCTTACTAAGATCTCATACGATAGTGTACATTCAACTACATGCAAGGTATCCCAGTGGTCCCGAAGGACTATCTGCCGTGCTGCTGACGGGACGACGTCCATGCGAGTGATCAGGATCCTGGGCGACGGCCGCTGCATGTACCGGGCCTTGGTTCGGGGACTGCACCTTGCTCAGAATAGTGAGTGGATAAGGCGCATACTCACAAGCTGGTGGCATGAGGGTGTTCCTGGCCCTGCTTAATGTCTCTGGTGGCAAAGATGCTTGCATCCTAGAAAGGCATCCAGCTTTGAGGAGAATTGTTCAGCCGCCCGCATTTCAAGGCGCCCACTAAGCCAGCCTGCTCATGCATTTCTCCTGGCGCAGAGCCTCTGCAGCCCTCGGAGGAGACCAATCAGGCTGACGCACTGCGCCGGAGGGTGTGTGACGAACTGGGCAAGCGGCGGGAGGACTTTGAGCCCTTCATCGATTGCGACTTCGATGCATACGTGTGTGATCAGCGCCGCCCATCCGCTTGGGGCGGTGAGCTTTATTTGTGGATTTCTTAGGGGTGCAGATGGGGCGATGCATGGGCGGCTCGGCTCCTCTCCCCCGATCTGATCTGTACTTGCCATTCCACCCTTCTGCAGGTGAACCCGAACTCGCTTGTGCGGCCACTGTCCTGGAATGTGTTATCCATGTGTACCAGCAGTCAACCCAGGGAGGGCTGGGGATGATCTCACAGTATGGCGAGTTGGCGAAGGGTGGCAGCCGCCCGCCCGCCATCAACCTGCTGTTTCATCGATTGGGCCACTATGACCTCCTGATCCTGATGCCCGGCCAGATACAGTCGAAGCTGTGACTGTTGTCGTTTTCTCGCATGAATCTGATGATTCGCTCCTTGTCTCTACTTCAGTCGCTGCCACAGGGCAATCTGAATGCCGGTACTGCTTGCTGGTGCACCCTTTGGCCAGGGTGTCATGTTCTGTCCTCTCAAGGCCAACGAGATGCACTCCACGTGTTTGCAGGATGGTACACAGCACATTGCAAGGATTCACCGTCTTGTGAACGTCACAGCAGCTAGCCTTGCGGTCTGGTGGGCACAGTGTGAAACATGTTGACAAAGGGCGGCCGCGGCACCATGGGGTACATGAAGGGAGCCATCCCTGGCGTGGCAGGGGGACCCATGTGAGGCAGATGTGTCCCAGGATACATTGGCAGGGGCTGGTAGGGGGGAGGGGGGGGCTTCCCAGGACCCATGGGAGGGGGCGGCGGGGGGGTGGCTGGTGGCCTTGGCACAGCAGGCGCTCCCATGGGCGGGCTCTGGGCCTGCAGTGAGGTCTGCTCCAGGGCACGTGCATAGTCGACCTTGCCTGTGGGTGAGGAGTGCGGTGATCAGGGAGGGCTCAATCCAGTCCTGAATCACTGAGGTGTACAAATAACGACATGAAGGAAAAGATCGCTGTCAAGGCTCTTGAGTGCTGATGAGGCTTGGCCAAGCACAGTAATTGATTGTGCATACTGGCACATCATGACACCGAGCACAGGCCTCTGCAGTGCCTCACAACGCTGCCAATCGAACAACCACCTACTTCGAAAGCCTTGCATCGTGTCAGGATGGATGTACATGGGAGTACCAGGGGGTACTCTTTCCAGCTTGGTCACATTGACATGGCACCTGGTGTTGATTGGAGCGGTAGAATTGGGTGCTCTGAGGGCAGGCTCAAGCATCTTCTACACAGCGGGCCGGGCGCAAAGGCCATCGAGCACAGCCAGAGACCTGCCCACGCCATACCCGCTTTAATGAAGCAACTCACAGTCGGCATCGAGCCATGGAAGCCGCACAGGCCAAGCAGAATGTGTGTAAGCAGGGGGCCAATCGTCCATATGCTGCAATGGGGGCCTTGCAGGCCAAACACAGATGCAGTGCAAGCCCCGCATCGGGAGTGGCGAGCTCTGCGTACATGAAGATAATATTTTGGCAAAGCTGTTGTGCGGTTTACAGATGAGACAGAATGTTGCAGGATGGTTGGTGTGTCCTACAGCAAAGCAAGACAAGGCACGATGCTACTAGGATTGTCACTGCGACAGGGTCGCGCATCACCATGTATACATCACATGCTTTTCAGCAGTATACCATACTTCCACTGCACTTGTAATTGCGATGTTCGCCTGCAGCTCTGAACAAAGTGATCTCATCAAGCGCCCTGCAAGCCAGAATGGCGGGAACCTGGATGCGTAACTTACTGTAAACCCAAGAGTGCATGACCCCCTTACCGAGCCTGCGCATCGCCCGCATACCCTCCTCCTGGTCCGAACTGTCCGAGACAAAGCACAGCTGTGATCGAGCGGGCAGGCCCCTGGGTTCCGGCCATGTCTAACTTGTTGAAGGGAGTGTCGAGCCTCAAGGTGAAGGAGGTTCCCGGCTTCGTCTCCAAGTATGCCGGCGAGAACCTGACCAAGAACAAGGTCGAGGGACGGCTGACGAGCTGGTACCACCGGTACAAGAAGGAGGTGCGCCGAGGTGCTCTGGTTGTCGTCCAGGCCAGGCCTGCCCGGCAGCAACATGGTCAGGGTGTGCGCCCTGGATCCCTCAGGCAGGCCATGCCTATGTCAGAGGCCCAGTTGTAGACGCTGATCTGCCGAGAAGAATGCCTAATGCCCTGTGCGCCGCTCACAACATCGTCCCTCCCACCCCCTGCACCCACTGCAGCACATTGACACCGGCAGCTTCAAGCCCTTCCAGGACCTGGTGGTGGGCGTCTTCCTCTTCTCCTACGTCATCTCCTGGCCCAAGGAGTACGCGCACTACAAGCACGAGCAGGAGGCCAAGCTGGCCGGCGGCGCCGCGCACTAGGGCCTGGTTGTTGCCGGATTTTGGCCTTCCCTATGGGGCGATGGCATCCCCGAACTGGATCCGAGATCCCGGGCGCCTGTGCACACCCATGGTCCTGAGGTCCCGAATGCGCACTGTATGTACAGACGAGGAGCGGCAGCAAAGGACGGGGACAGCAGGAAGGGAGGAAGTGTGTGTGTGGAGGGGAGGGGGCTGGGGGACCGGCCCGCATGGCGCTCCGTCGAGGAGCGATCGATCAGGCACCACACGCCCCGGCCACCCAGCAGACGCAGCACGGCAACATGCCGCAATCTCTCAAACTCTAGGCCTTGAGGATGCCGACCAGGGTGTTTGCCAGGCTGAAGGTGCGGACAGACAGGCCCCGCGCCTTCTCCAGCAGCGCGTCGTTGGCGCCCAGGGTCTCGGTCTGCATCACCACCGTGCCGGCCTTGGCGTCGATCTTGGCGTTCAGCCGCGCGTTCCTGGTTGTGGAGGGTGGCGGTGGATTTTGTCAGGTTGTGATGATGACCACTGACGCTGCACAGAGTGAAAGAGGCCAGGCCCAAGGCTGCAAGGGCCGGTGGTGGCGACCCACGCGCCCATGGCGTGGCCAGCGAGACACACCCCACCCTCTCCTTCCCCCCTCTCTCCAACCTTCCCACCCCCTTCACCATACCTGATGAGGTTCACGATCCACTTCTCGGTAGCCTCTCGGTCCATGCCCAGCTGCCCCGCCAGCTCCGCCAGGTCGATCTGCTGGTGCACGCGGCAGTAGGTCTCGAACAGGAAGGTGCGCGCCGCGTCCATGAACGCCTCCTTGGCCGCCACCAGGAAGAAGTCATTGTCCAGCACCTGGAGGCGGGGGCAGGGTGGGGAGGAGGACACTGAGGAAATGGGGATGATGGAGGCTGGGGACATGGAGGAGGGCCCTGATGGTGCATCGCTTATGTGTGCAGTGTGCTGTCGTCCATGCAAGCAGACCTCGCAACTCCCATCTGTGAGGACCAGGCACCGCCCACCAAGGACTGGCAGCATCAAACTCTCCTCCTTCGACGTCACCTCCTTTCCCTAAATCACCCATCTCCAACACCTACCCTCAAATCCCTATTCTCCACCCCCCCCTCCACCCGCCCCCCCCCCACACACACTTCACCCACCTCCTCGCACTGGGCCAGCCAGGCCTGCGCGCCGTCAAAGTCGGCCTCCACAAAGAGGCAGCGCAGGAACTCGGTGATGGGGTCGCGGTACTCATACTGCTCCTGCTGGATGACGCGGACCAGGTCCTTGAGAACGTTGCGCCGCCGCTTGTTGATCACCACCGCGATGGACAGGTAGCGCAGCAGGTGCTGGCCGGTCAGCTGCAGTGCCGTCAGGTACCTGGGAGGAAAGCATGAAGGAGTGTGTTTGGGTGGGGGAACTTCTCAAAAGGACCAGTCAGGGTGGTGTTTGGGTAAAAATAGCATGGGAGTCGTTGGTGAGGACAGAACGCCGGCGGTGTATTTGCTACCGATGTGCATGCATCAAAGGCCGCCAGTGCATGGGCAACACAGCCATGCCCGGGGACCCACGGCTGTAATGAATGTCCATGGACCCCTGCCAGGCAGGCCTACCTTCCCACCTCCCCCCCCCCCTCCCCTCCTCCCCCCCCCAACCCCCCTCCTTCAACACACACACACACCTGTCCTGGAGGAAGAGGTCGATGAGGGCGTTCATACCGTTCTCGTGGTTGAAGAAGACAAAGAGGGACCAGTGCATGAGCCAGGAGCGGGACTGCAGCTGCTTGACCACGGGCGCAAAGGTGTCCAGATCCAGGAGGTCTTTGAGCTTCAGCAGGTCCTCCATGGCCGCCTCAAAGTCCTGCAGCAGGATGTCGGCGGCCACCTTGCCCCACAGCGCCGATACGCAGCGGTCGGGGTGAGTGGATAGGCTGCGGTAGTGGTGCAGGTACTCCGCGGCCGCGCTGTAGTTGCCGCACTCAAAGTTCCACTTGGCCAGGTGGTACAGTGCGTCCACCTGGTCGGGGCCTGTGTCAGGGGGAAAGAAGGGAGGACATACCTTTGAGCGTTGGACTTGGCGAGAGAAGGGGACACCGGACACAGGTTGGATTAGGGTAGAAGGATCGGGATGTGCAGGGGCATGGATGTAGACATCCTGGCATGTAAAGTAGCATGCAGGCTGAAGCATGGAGGGGTGTGAGACCTCTTGCTCCTGTTCCCACATCCACTCCAGCAGGAATCAGTCCTACTGGGTCAAGGGACAGCACCCAGCGTTCCCTCTGTCCAGAATACACCCTTGCGCCCTCTTACCAATGCCGAACTCGGACTGCAGGAAGGCCTGGTTCTGCGTCTTGTCCTGCTTGAGCAGCCGGACATTGTCGGCATTGCTCAGGAAGTCGGTGATGGTCTTCACCTGTCCCTCCAGGGTGCGCAGCTTGTTCACCACCTCCTGTCGTCGAGCCACCAGGGAGTCGGGCACCTGCGAGCGGATGTATGTTCGTATCCAGGCAGTGGGTTGGCCCGGGCGGGGATGGTGTCGGAAGCCTTGGTGTAGAGCCGGCTCCAGGCCATCACGGTCGGGACACCGCGAGCCCGGCCATGCCCAGCATCGCGCGGGTGACCACATTGTTTCCTACTGCGTTATATAAATGCGCTTGACCCCATTTACACCATCCAGGCCACGCACCTCATCCGTTTGATTGAGGCCCTGGTAGATATCCACGGCATAGTCGACCATGTTTGTCTTCTCGATCAGTTCCAGTTTGGCAGACTCGATGTCCTCGGCTGGGTACAGCTGCTTCTGGGACAGGAACTCCAGCAGCGGGAACACGAGGTGGCGGTCCAGGGACTTGGCCACCACCGTGGTGAGGTCATACTGCAAAGGATCGGCGCTGCTGGCTGCCGCCGGCTCGGCTGCGCCCAGGGACGCCATGATTGCGAGGAAGGAGAGGGGATGGTCACACAGCGGGGAACCAGTCGCCGCAGCCCTCACCATGCGGGCACGGGGCCCCTGGCTGGACTGGGCCGGTTTGGGCGGCCTCGGTGCCCTGCCGAGGCCGATGTGGCATAGCACGCGGGTCGCGGCGCCCCTGCCAGACAGAGAGGATCAAGGGCCCGCTCCGTCGCCTAAAGTGCTGACCTGCCTCGATTCAGCGCCAAATTCATCCACGGCTACTCCGATCTAGACATAGATAAGAAATGATGCTCAAGAGCACCATGCAGAGCACCCGGCCGGCATGCGGCGTCTGGGCCGTAGGCCCTTCACCCATGCGGATGTGGAGGCAGCCCGCCAGGGCACCCGCTGCCGCGCCGCGCATGAAGCCTGTCAGGGCCCACAAGTCCATGGATGAGGCCGCCTTGTCCCTCCTGGCCGCTACGGGGTTCATGCTGGCCCTCCCTGAGGCCGCCCATGCCGACATCCTGACCGGCAGGATCGCCAGCCTTGCTCACCCAGTCGCCATGATTGCGCTCTTCGGGTCCAGCGTGTACACAGCCGTCCTGGGGTTCCAATACCGCCGCACGCGCGACCTGGCGGCGGAGATCAAGGACCTGAAGGCACAGGCACCCACCGCTCCAAAGGGGGAGGGAGAGGAGGCCTCCTCGGCCGTCGCCTCGCCGGAGCAGTCCAGGATCAAGGAGCTGGAGCAGGTGAGGGAGGAGTGAGACCGAGAAGGAGAGATTTTATCATTTGTCTGTGGCCATGCTCAAGGAGACACCTGTGAATTTTGCGTGGAGGGCCTCTGTCTCTGACGGGCCGGGGGGAGCTTCGGAATGACCGCCCTGGTGCCCAATCCCATATCAGGAGCGCAAGGACCTGATCAGGAAGAAGCTGAACGAGAAGCACTACACCTGGGGTTCTGTGCTGCTGGGCCTGGGCATCACCTTCTCCATCATCGGGCCTGTCAACACCTACCTCAGAACTGGTGCAACGGGGAGGCGGAGGAAAGGCAGAACAACGGGGGCTTTGTCGTGACTCGCATTTGGTAGTGGAATGCAAAATCATGACTGTCTTGCTGCATTACCAGGCGTTTTACTTGACATATTGTTGACACGTCATCCTTGCACCACCCCACCTCCCTCACCCTTCCCGCACCAGGCAAGCTCTTCCCGGGTCCCCACCTCTACTTTGGCGCCCTGATCACGGTGCTGTGGGCGCTGGCCGCCTCGCTGTCTCCAGCGATGCAGAAAGGGAACGAGACGGCGCGCATCACCCACATCACGCTCAACTGCCTGGCCCTGTTCTTCTTTGCATCTCAGGTGATGTTTTGGGGGTCACAGGGAAGGTAGGGTGGTGAGGGTAGGGCAGTAGTGCAGGGTCTCCTGCACCATGGGGTCATGAGGAGGTCAGGCAATGCCTGGGTGTTTGGATCGAACTGCTTCGTAATGTAGATTAGGGCTTGTTGGGTGACATCCTCCACACACCTCAAGTTGATGACCATTGACCCCCGCAGATTCCCACCGGGTGGGAAATCGTCGTCAAAGTGCTGGAGAATACCTCTTTCCCCTGAAGACCTGCTGCTCCGGCAATTGAACCCAGAGAAGAACATCCAGAAGAATAGGCATGCTCACACACTCCCAGCGTTTGATCTTTGTCGCATGATATGAGGGGATCCCACCGCTCGTCGCTTGATCTGTATGCCCCTGTTCCCCAATTCCTCTCCTATCCCTTGAGGGTGGGAAAAGGCCTTGTGTGCCGTCAAGCATGCATTCGGCCGGCAATTTTCTTCCCAACTTTTCACTTTTGCCCCCAGCAAGGTTGACGTTTTGGATGTAGGTTTTCCAGTGAACGAGTCCAAGTGTCTAATCTGGCAGCAACTACTTCAAATACACGCAGTGCAGAGATAAGAGGCCGCGATACAGCAAGGACCGATCTCGATACAAAAAATGTTATAGCATTGCTCAGTACCCATAGAGTGGTAGCGGGGGCGATCCAAGGGCGTCGGGCCCCGTCGCCACTCAGGGATGGCACCCACTCCGCCACCCGAGCCTCCGCCTGCAACGTCGCCTGGACAGAAGGAGGTGAGCATGTCGATGCTGTAATTTACATTGTGGATCGTGCTTGCCCCCACAGCCCTTCCTGCGTGATCGGCGGGCACAGGGACATTCCCAGTATGGAGTGTCCTCTCCACCTTGCCCTGCTGCCCTGAGGCACCCCCTGCCTCCATGCTGATGACGGCCGCTCCCGATCTCAATCAATATCATCTGCGCAGGGTTCGGCAGAGAAGACAGTTGAGCCATTGATACGCCTGAGGGAGTTCTTCAAGCGTCAAGGTAGGCCAAGCTGAAGAACTGTACCGCGCAGTGCCAGTGGGCAGACCTTTCACTTGCGGCCCCACATCCGCCTCCCCTCTATACAGGTGCGACACTGGAGGAGGGGTGGTCCATAGAGATCAAGCATCGCAGCGGGGGGTCCACAGCCGGCACGACCGACACGGTAGGGCGGGCGAGTACACGGCTGGCGGACATGAAGTTCCAGCACACCATGAACGACACTGGCTTCACAAGACATTCCATGAACTTGATTGTCCCACTCTTGCGCTCCTGCAGTACTATCATTCTCCCAAGGGCAAGCGGTATCGCTCAAGAGTGGAGGTGAGGGGGGCTCAAGGTCTGGCCTGCCTCGAGAGTGTCTGCTGTTGGGGGCAGCATTTTTCTCATCAGCATACCTCCTACCCCTCGCCACGCCCTCTTGCCCCAGATTGCTCGGGACTATGGCCTGGTCGTGGAGCCACCAGCACGCAAGCAGACCAGCCTCAGCAGCTTCTTTGAAGCACATAAGCCAGTCTCCAGACCAGAGGCTGTGTCCGGCAGCGCTGCCTGCCTGGCGAGCCTCACGCTTCCGCTGACGCTCGCCAATGGCACCACCATCACATCGTGCGCAGGGATTGGGTGATGGCTTCTGGAAGCTGGCGCATGCTGGTGGCTCGTGGGGAGGCAGCCTTGCAGCCCCATCACCCTGAGAGCATGCTCATGCAGTTCTATATACAAGCAATGCGAGCTTCCAGGACCACACCAACCCGCCACAGGCTGGGCACAGGTGCGGCTGTCACTGGCACTGAGCCGCCGACCCTGCTGCCCGTTGGCTTTGAGGCAGAGCGCGCGGCAGGAGCTGGCAGCAGCAACCGCATCCATTTTTCCATTGATGAGGGCCCAGTGTGCAGGTGGGGAGCATACCGACGCCACCATGCCTCCAGCCTCTCTCAGAATCGGAAGACCATGCATGCAGCCTCCACCTGATCATGGGCTCAAGCGGAAACACTGAGAAGAGTGTGCCTGCCCTGCAGGATTCTGCTCGGGCGACCTGGTGAGGGCTTGGAGCTCGGCGCCGGCGCCAGCCCTGACGCAGCGTGGACTGCTGCGGCAGCTTCGACTGCTCTGCAAGAAAGTGGGCATGCCGCGGTCCCAGATGGACTCAAGCAAGACCTGGAGATGGGGTGGGGGACGGAGCGCTTTGGGCTGGCCTCCCTCCCAGTGCTCAAAGCAGTGGAGGTGGGGCCTGGAGGGCGGTTTGGTGGGCCTGGAGGAGGTGTGGCGTCGAGGGCGGATGAAAGACAACCGTCACACAGAATCTCTGAGGACGCGTGCGCTCCATGCGCTCTTACTCTGTGAGTTCAGCGTCCATCATGCTGCCAAAATTGCTCCGAGCTGACTGTTCCTGCCATGCAGGGCCTACCAAACGTCAAGGACTTGCCGGGGTACAAGTATGTGGACGAAGGGGAAGGCTGGAGCGCGGTGGGTGCCAGGCTGAGGGCGCAACTGACTCAGCGCGGCATCATGAAGGCCAAGGTGCGATGAGAGCCGGCACCTTGGGCCTGAGGTGGCAGGAGTCTGGCTGTGGGAGTGGGGTGAAGGTTCTATCGATTGGCATTTGGTACAGTAACAGTGAGGGAGGCTTGTTGCGATGCAGTGGTTCGGCCGCCAGAGACATTGCCAAACACCACTGACCACCCCCCTTCACCAAACATGTGTTTGCCTCGCACGCACAGTCCAAACCAGGCAAGCCATCTGAGAAGGTGCCAGGCGGGAAGAAGGCCGATGCCAAAGCCGTCGCCAAGGTGTGCTGTAAAATCTCTGGCCCCCGCCCCATCTCATGTTGGGAAGTGGGGAAGCCGAGGTTGCCTGCAGCGAAGCATCTGATTATGAATGTGTATGCCCCCACGACTCAGGCCTACATGTTGGTGTGCACGCTGCCAGCCTCCATCTCTTCGACACCCCCAGGCCATGGACTCCATGATCCGCCGGATTGAGCGGGAGGAGGAGAGGAGGAAGTCCATGGCAGAGAAGTCTGCGGCTGCGCTGGAGCGAAAGGCGCTGAAGCAGATGTGCGCTGGGGCAGTGGGGGATGGGAGAGGCCTGGCAGTGCGAGTGGCATAGGTGCATGCACCCCACCTGTGCACAAGCCATGCCCACCTCGCTCTGCGCCACAGGGAAAGCGAGGCGCAGCGATCGCAGGCTGTCCAGGCACAGCATGCCCTGTTCCTTGCCCGGGCAGCGGCCATCCAGCAATCCCGGGAGGCCAATGCCGTCAGAGGTGTGCTGCTGAGGTTGCGAGATGTGTGCCGTGGTGAAAAGCTTTCTCATGCACCTGGGGCGCCTCGAGTTTGGCACATCTGTACACACACGGGTCCTCCACCTCCCAGTGACAACCCTGTGCCTCCTGACTTCCTGGCACGACAGACGACGCCGCCCTCCCTGGAGCCCATCTCCCGCCCCCCACGCCCAAGCGGCTGGGGTGTGGCGCCATCCCCGCGGAGGGCGATGCTCTCTTGCTGGAAATCTGGCTGTTTGCCCATCGCTTCCAGGGACTGCTGGGCCTGGAGGACCCCCTGCCCACCATTGCGCAGCTAGAGGTGGGAACCTCCGATGTCTGTGTGCGTGTTTGTTTGCAGGCTTGTCTGCAGGGTGTGGGGGTGCTACTGGATTCCCAACCTTGGGTGCATTCTTTGGCATGTCAGGTGAGCAATGCGTGCGTCTGCCGGCAGGGACGCTTCCCATCCATGCACTCCCTTCCCGCACCAGGCCGGTTTGGTCATGGAGGGCTTCCACCAGGCCAGTGCCCCAGACGAGGAGGTGCCCAGCCCCTACACACTGCTCTGCATGGCGCTGTGCAACCTCCTCTGCATCGACCTGTTTGATGGTGCCATGGAAGCTCTGGAAGGTGCCCGATCTTCGTGCTGATGGTGGCTTTTGGGATTCGGCGGGGGCGTTGACAGTTCCAGCGTCCCTGCGCTCTGTTGCCAGGGAGCAGGGCGTGAAGGCAGTGCCAGTGTCTTGGCTGCCGTTTCATAGGAGGCCGCGCATGCTGACCACCCTGCCCGCTCCCCTTCTGATGCCTGCACCCCCCACCCCCCGCAGAGTCCCGGCCCGAGGTGAGGGAGGCCGACTACCGGCCCAGCGCCAAGGCCCAGCATCCCCTGCCCGTGACCCCGGAGAGCTGGCCGGAAGCTGCCGCCCGCATCCTGCGCATCCACGCCGCGGCGGCCCGCGCTGACCGAGGGCTCGCATCGAGGGCCAAGGGAACCGCGGAGCCGTTGGCTGTACTGGGCCCGGACCTGCTGCTGGACCTGCTGGTGGCGGGGCTGGACGCGGCCACCGCCCAGCGGGTGGGCGGGCTGCCGCCACACGCTGGCCCTCAGACGGCCGCCTCGATCCGCGCCGCGGCCGACGCCGCCGGCCGAGCTGCTGCGATTGCTGGGGACGGCAAGCTGGGGGTCCGGGCCCGTGAGAGCTCGCATGGCTCCACCCCGCTGCTCCGCGCGGCGCTGCTCCGGCTGTGCTCGGGGCGGCACGCCAGGGCCTTGGCGTGGCACGGCGCGGAGGCCGCCGCCGCGACCAGGGCGCCGCGGGAGCTGGACTTGGCCGGCGTGGGACGGCGTGTCGAGGCGGGGGCGTACGCTATGGCTGCGAATCCCCTAGAAGCCCTGGCCGTCGACGTGGAAGCCGTGGTGGCCCTGCACGCCGGCCTGGCGGGGAAGCAATCGGAGGCAGCTGTGGCGCTCCAGAGTCAGGGTGGGCGGGGGGGATCGTTGAGATTTTGGTGCCTGGCGCGGATTGAATGGTGAACGACAAGAAACAGAGTACAAGCATGCCGTGTTTCTCTCTGCGCATCATGGACTTCTTTGTTATGTCTGCTCCCTGGCCCTTGCCCACTCTGCACACCATGTGCGTGCCTCGTCAGGGGTGGTGGAGGGCGCCGCGACTGTTGCGAGCCTTCTCGAAGCCTGTCTGGCTGAGATCAGCAAGGATGGGCCGGAGGCCTTCATACAGGGGGTGGAGCGCGCCCACCCCAAGCTGGCACGGCACCTGCGGGATGTCAGCAGGTGACGGTGGGGGTGCCGTTGCTCTCGACGTGACATTGCGCAAGGAAGGTTGATGTGGAGGCTCACAATGTCTGGAGGTTTGATGAGTGGACGTGACCACTCGAGGTCATCTGCACACTGCATGCTGGGTGCGCCGCCCTGTCATTTGCACAAAGGGACCTGCCGCGCAATCCATGTGGACCCCTGGACCTGATCTGGAGGACCACGTGCACATAACGTTTCCCCCCCTCCATCACAAGACCAGGCCGTTCTCGCCCTTCCCTGGGTGTGCTGTGTGCTGGGACGAGGGTGACGAGCCCCACACCCTCATCTGCGACGGGTGCGACATCGAGCGGCACATGTACTGCCTACCTGTCCCGCTTGAGGAGGTGCCAGAGGTGTGATCTATGTGGAGGGGCTGGAGACGAGGGCTGGGGCCGAGGGTGCTGGGCACAGGGACAAAGTCTGGAGGCGGCGTGTCCGTGCAGGGCATGAATCTGTGTGAGAGCCTTCCCTGTTGAGCGGTGTCTCCGCGCCTGTCGTGAATATCACTGCCTCTACATCAACCAATCTCTTACCAACCCTCGATGCGTCGCAAACCACAGGGAGCCTGGCAATGCCCTGCGTGCGACCCCACCTCAAAGGGCAAGGATGGGCTTGCAGGCCAGTCAGGTGGCGCACCCAAGGACTGTCTGACAGAGCTGGGCGAATTCCTTTCCACCCACGACATCTGGTGAGCGGCGGCGCAGGGGGATTGAGGAGCGACAGTAGGCTCTGAAGGGGTCTACCTGGCACAGGTCCTGCAGGTGTGCATGCCACTTCACGCCTGCATCACTCCGCCTGCAATATAAAGAAAGTTCCAGGAGCCAGTTATTGCACAACAGCAGACGCGAACCGCTCACCCTCGCTCCACGCCCTACCCTCTCCCTCCCACACCCCCACCCGTCCTGTGCCTCCCTGTCCAGCAGGCAGGCCGCGCCCGCTGCCCGCCTCAACCTGTTGCATGCCCTGACCCAGCTGGTGGCCGAGTCGCGGATGGTGCACACCTCGCTCGTGGAGGAGGAGGAAAGCGCGAGGCAGTTAAGAAGGGAGATCCAGGGCATGCGTGTGGAGATCCGCACCTGGCACGCCGAGGCGGCGCTGAGGAGCGCCGGGGGGGCAGCCGCGCAGGAGGGCGTGTCTGCACGGTGAGACGTAGTGGCTGTTGGCCTTTGGGAGATTCGAGCGTGGTTGGTGGAAGGGCTCCTTGGGTGAACAGAGTGTCAGCATGAATCTTGGCGGCTGGGTTTCATGACGACATCCTCCAGATCATGCAGCTCCAGCAAGGGCCTCCGCCCCTCCTCCCGCTGCAGCGCCACGCGATCGGTGGACCCCTTGTCTCAGATTGAGGCTGCGGTGCAGCGCACCTCTCGCCTTGAGCATGAGCTCAGTAAGGTGAGATGCTATGGAGGGGGGCTGGATCATGACGATTGGAGGTCTGTGCACGAGGCCACCTCATGGGCACATGCGCTCGGCATCTCGACCGGGAAGGTGTCAACTGTCCGCTGGACGCCACCTGACAGCACAGCAGCCTCGCCGTCGCAGTGGTCGCCGCTCAATCCTTTGCTTCCCCCGCTTCACTCAGACACCAGTGCCCCGGCTGACCCCCATTGGGGTCGACCGACACTGGAACCGGTACTGGCTGCTGCCCCAGGAAGCTTTTGCAGAGGTGCCGAGCGGAGGCGGCGCCGCCGTCCTGGGCGTCGACCGCCCCGCACCATCTGACGCGAGCGCTCCCGCTGAGCGCTGGACTGCAGGCATTTATCCCGGCCCGGAGGAGCTCGACAGGCTCCTGCGATGGCTGGACCCACGAGGTGTGCGAGAGCGGGCTCTAGCGGCCGAGGCGAGGCGTCTTCATGCCGAGTCGCTAGCTTCACAGGAACGGGAGGGAGTGCGGGAGGCCGAGGCGCGCGCGGCACCGGCAGAGGCGCAGCAAGCGCAGGACGGGGCAGAGCAGGGTGTTGACGCCACTGCGCCACCTGTCGCAGATGTGATGCAGCCTGGGGAGGATGGCACTGCCTTGGCTCCTGGGGCGGCACCTGCTCCCGACGCGGCACCTGCTCCCGAGGCGGCACCTGCTCCCGACGCGGCCACGGCCACCGACGCCCTCGAGCCCCTGCGCAGCGCCGTGCTGGCGTTGCAGGAGGGCTGGGCGGCGGCCACGCTGCAGGCCGTCGGAGGAGGAGCTGATCGCGGTGGCGGGAGTCGTGTCGTCGCAGCAGTGCAGCCAGTCGACCTGGCGCGCGCCTTGCTGCGACTGGAGGGCTGGGTCCGGCCCGAGTTCTTCCAAGGTGCACTGGCGCTTCTGGGCGGCCATCACGCCTCACCCCGGCGGCCTGGGTGAGTTGTGGGAGGGGTGGGCAGGGCGGGGGAACCCACCTGGAGCCGGCCGCATGCTTCCCGACGACACCAGCTGCTGTGTCCGGTCGCGCCGATGCGATCCCCCTACCTGCCCACCCTCGACCTCCCCATCTTCAGCCACCCCGGCCGCCCTCTGGATGCGGTACGAGGCGCTCAAGTCGGCGGTCAAGCTGCGCGTGACGCTCAAGCTGCCCGGCAGCGCACCGACGACCGCCGGCGGGACGACCTCCCGCCCGCCCTCCCGTGGCAGCGGCCGGTATCCGCTGCGGGAGCGCCGCGCTGCGGTGGGTGCCGCCGGCTCGGGCCAGAAGAGGCCCTGGTGGGACGCCCTGGAGGACGGGGAGACCAGCGACTCGCCCGCCGCGAGCGCCGAGCCCGCAGCTGACGACCGCGCGTCCCGCCTGGCCAAGCGCCAGCGCGCCCAAGAAAGGGAGGCACAGGCTGAAAGTGAGCGGGGCCGGCGCATGGTGGAGCGGAGCGCGGGAGGCAGGAGCCTGCGCTCGAAGCCCGCCGACGAGGTCGCCCGCGGCAGGCTGCGGGAAGGGTGAGCGCAGCGGACCAGGTGGTTCTGGTGGAGAGCTGTGTCGATGCCGCGGTCCTGCAATGTCTGATTCCTGTCGCGACGCCCGACTCCCAATCCACCCTGCCCTGCTGCCGCCCCCTGCATGCCAGGGGGCCCAGCCAGAGGGAGGCTGTGGAGGAGGTGGTGTGGATGGACTCCGACCAGGTGGAAGGCTGTGGCAGTGGGCATGGGGGTTGTCTTTTTGAAGTAATGCATTGCCAGAGCCTGTTGGGGGGGGTGTGAAGGCAGGTTGGGAGCATGTGTGATGACACAGTCCCACCACCACAACACCCCTGCAACACAGGAGGAGAGCGGGGAGGATGCGGCAGGAGACACCCAAGATTCGCCTGCAGCCTCCGCCCCCACTCCTTCTTCTTCTTCATTGTCATCGGGGGCTTCAGGCAGCCTGGCATGACGCTCCAGTGCAGGGCATGCGCCTATGTGTGGATCACAGATGAAAAAGCAATGCCGCACCGGGCACCCGGGCTGCAAGCAGGACCGAAATCGCAGGGGCAAAGGAAACCCGGGCCGGCCAGGATGGGGCCAGGAGGTGGGTACTTGGGGCACATGTCAGCCTTCCACGACAGCATCCAGTCGCTGGTGCTTGCGGTCATGGAGCGAGTCGTCGTTCCTGCACGCAGACAGGCAGCCGGTGGCGCCGCGGGGAGCCCACGGCGGGTTGCACAGGGGTCCCACGGGGAGCATGTGGCTGGGTATTGCCCTATCCCATCCTGCTCAGCCATCACAGCTCGCTGGCGTCGCGGCCCTGGCCACCCACCACCCCCTCCACCATGGGCGCCAGGCGCGCGCGGAACAGCGAGTCGCTGGCGACCACGGCCTCCAGCTCCCGAGCCCGGCCTGCCGCCGCGGTCACCGCGGCCGTCAGCTCCTCCACCTCCCGGTCCAGGGCGGGCCACTCTGCGATGATGCGCCGCGCGCTCTGCAGCTTGGGCTCCTTGGTCAGCGGATTGTTGCACAGGTCGATGGTGCGCGCCGCGGGGCGGCTGGCCGCGCCGCACCAGGTCTCGCACCACAGCCACTCCTGGTCCAGGCTGTGGATGGGCACGATGCTCTGGGCATAGTTGGGCAGGTCCTGTGGTGTTTTGTGTGGGTGTGTGTGAACAGAGGGGGTCTGGTCATGGAGGGGAAGGGGGAGGGATGGCAGGGGCTGAGGGATGTGGGATGGCGCGAGGAGTCTGGTGTGCTACCCGCCAAGGGTCCCTGATCGACAGGCTTGGAGACGAATCCCTGCGCACCTTCCTCCCATTCCCTCCTTAAAGAGCCCAATCTCTCACCTGGTCGAGGTTGGACAGGGAGTTGGGGTCCTTGGACAGCCGCTCGTAGAGGATGCGCAGTTTGTCCCCGGCTGCCAGCGTCCTGAAGCGATCCAGGTCCACCAGGTACAGGGCCGAGATGTGGTAGGGCAGGCCCTGGGAGGATTTGGTGGAGGGGGGTGGGGGTGGGGGCCGAAGAGACCAGCATGTTGTCAATCGCACCCCAACCCTCCAAAGAGTCTCGTGACATCAAGATACTTTACCTTGAATGCATGCATCGCCCCATTGATCTCTGGTCAGCAGCTGCATCATTGGGACCCCTTTACAAAAGGTTCCATTCCATCACCCCCCCAACCAATCACGCACAAACCTGGAGGTGGTCCTTCCAGAAGCCATGCTTCCAGAAGCGGAAGCCCTCCATCTCCTTGTTGGTGTCGCAGAAGGGGGTGTAGGCGTAGGGCGCCCCCTGCAGGTCGGTTGCCCAGAGCTGGGCCAGGTCGGCCCGGACCACCTGGTCGGAGTCGCAGAAGATGACCTTCTTGAGGCCCAGCGGGAAGAGGACGTCCAGGAACAGGATCTTGTACGCCCAAATGATGCGTTGCTTCTCGCTCTGCTTGTGCAGCCAGGTAGGCCACTTGTATGTCACAAACCTGTTTGTAGGGGTGGCAAGGGTGGCGGGTTGAGGGATGGGCGGTCTTGAAGGTCAGGAGCCTGGCAATGAAACTGGTGCATGCCGCTCCAAGGAAGACACCGTGAGTCTGCTGTCACCCTGGCACTCATCTCCCCCACGCTCCAAGGCACTCCCTGCTCCCCATGCCCGCCCACTCACTCATAGTCAAAGTCATATCGCCTGGCCATGACCGGGATGAAAGCCTTCATCTGTGGTGGGTGGAAGGGGATCACTCTACTCAACACAACACGAACATCATCAAGGATCAGGATTAAATTGTGAGACTGCGTTAGCTTGGAAGATGGTCATCCATCATGAGGGCTGTTGAAGTCGTTACCAATAGCATCATCATCGATTAGTGGACACCACCCCCCACTTCCGCCTACTGCACGCACCTGGGGCGACATGTAGTTCTTGATGAACCAGAACTTCAGGCGGGCGCTCGTGCGTTTGACAGCGGAGAGGATCATGATCTTCTGCAGGCGCTCATACCTGGGAGGAGGACAGGGTAGGCTGACGAGCTGCGCAGCGGGGCTGCAGCCATGCGCTCAGGCCAAGAATGTGTTCAGAGTGCACAAGCTCCCTCCTCTCCCCTTCCCCCACACCTACATTGTCCCTGAGGAGACGGTGAAGATGTGGATTCGGGCATCCTCCCCTTCTTTCGCAGGGGCAGGGGCCTCGTCCTTCTTGACGCCCCAGACCGGGAGGCTGGACCAGACACCTACGGTTGGCCCTGCTCAGCAAGGTGGAAGGTTAGTGGGGTTTGGGGCAGGAAGCAAGGCATCGGACATTATGCGAATGTGGCAGCTGAGGGTGCACACTCCAATGTACTCAAGGATACCCATGCCAGGCAGTTGAGAAACGCTACAAATGCACTCTCGCTTCCTGCGCAAACCTCCGCACCTGTGCCCGGGCTGGGGGCCAGCACGTCCTCATCCAACCACGCCGGGTCCTTCTTCAGGAACAGGCGCAGGTGGTGACCTGATGACGAGGGAATGATGGGGGGTGACCTGAGCGGGCGAGAAGGTTGCCACGCGCCCGCTACCGCGCGCGCAGCAGTTCCGCCTCGATGACTTCACGAGCACGAGGATGAGCCAGTGGACTCTCTCTCATCCCCCAAACCCACACACAACCCCCTCCTTCAATCGCCCACCCATCAGGCTGTCGACTGTGACCGGCAGTTCAAAGGTGAGGCCGCCTTGATTCCTCGGCGCCGCCGCTCCCTCCATCCCATGGTCGGCCTCCAGCTCGTCGTCGCGCGCGACGGAAAAGAGCTCGCGGGACCTGCCCGGCGCCAGGCCCAGCGTCCACTCCCCCGGCGCCGCCTTGAGCTGGAAGTAGCCCAGGTTGGACATGACCAGGGTGTCCACCAGCGGGACCTTGCCCGCAGGGCCCAGCTCCAGCTTCACGCCTCGCGGGTGCACCTGACGTGGATGGTGGGTTTTGTTGCGGGGAGATTTGTAGGTGGGGTTGGCCTTGTAAGTCCGGGAACCCAGCGGTGCAGGCTGGGGCCGAGATGGGCTGGCTTTCGCAGTGCCATGCCAATGCACGTGCCTGCTCCTACCCCAGGTTGGGCCTCTCGAAGCCTCTAGGACCCCTGACGTCCCTGTTCCCTGGCAGGTGCCGTGTTCTCCGCTGTGTTCAGGATCCCGGCCCCCCTAGAAGACAAAAGAAGCCCTTTAACGCCCCTCCCCCCCTGTCTCACCTCCTGGCTCGGGTCCCCCGACCTGGCCGCCCCGAGGTCTATGGCGCTGCCGGTGACCAGCAGGGCCTCCAGCTCAAAGGTGGCAGCCAGACGCTGACCTGGCGCCAGCTCGGCCAGGCGGATGTTGTCCAGGTCGTGGTCGGTGGCCACCGGCTCCACGAGCCAGGGCTCCGGCACCTCCATGCCCAGGGTCAGCGTCTGGTCGGCGGGCAGGCCGTCGAAGCGCGCTGCGGGCGGGGCACCATCGCCGCGCGGGAGCACATAGCGCAGGAAGCCCTTAACCGGGAGGTCAGCCAGGCCGCGGTCGGGGTTGAGCGTCAGCATGACCTCCGCGCCCAGGGCCTCGTGCAGGTACGCCAGGACCTGTGGAGAAAGGGGGAAAGGGGGGGGGGTGATGCTGGTGGGGAAGGGTGGGCAGGCAGGGGCCAGGCGAGGAGAAGGCGTCGCGGCACTGGCGAGGAGGGCGATGGATGACCCATAGGCACCACTCCTAACCTCGATCTCCAACATACTGGGGTGAGCATGGCGGCCTGCTTGGACAGGGGGTCCACCACGGCTTGGATGAACAGGGGGGGGGGGGCCAGAGTCGTTCCGCCCGACCCTGACGGTGTTGAGCTCGTCCGTGGGGAAGCGCTCCCACAGCCCCCGCCCACTCAGCTCATACTGCAAACGGAAGGGGGCGGGGGTGCGGATGGGGGAGCAGCAGGCATGACGTCGTTGTGGCAACGGTCAGTGCCTGGGGGCGGCAAGCCGCTGTGGTGATCTCAATGTGCCCCAACCGGCTGGGATGTGCGTCCCATCTGCGACTCTACTCTCCCATGAACACCTCCAACCACCCATGCATGCCTGGTCCAGGGGGCCGGAGGCGAGGATGCTGCTGGCCACTCCCGCATCCTCGAGACCGGCCTGCTGTTCTTCCGAATCTCCATCGCCGGCAAACTGGTACCACCGCGCGTAGAGCTCCAGCAGCTCAAAGTCTTCGGGGACGAAGAGCTCGCCACTGGGCTGCAGCGTGACGACTCGGCCATTGGTCACCACGGCAGAGCTGCCGCGCGGCAGCCGAAGCCCCTCCCTGGTGGTGATGGGCGCGGGGATGGGGGTTGCTTGAGAGCCGTGCAGCCAGCCGGATGCATGCAGGGCAGGCAGCCCTGAGGCTGGTTTGTCTGCGATTTGGCCCCTCTCAAAGTTGCAATTGCAGCTGCCCTGCCATCAGGGGTGGACCCAGCCGCCTCGCAGGAGTGGCGGCTTTTCAGCAAGCTCATGATGACATCCAGGTCCGAGCATACGCTGACAGCCCCACACTCGCACCTTGCAAAGCGGGAGTGCGCTGCCGCAACCTGATCGGCATTGGGAAGCTCGGCCCAGCTCAGGCCATGCGTGATGTGGATGTCACTTTCTGACAGGGATCCCAGATCCGTGTCGAGGGGCAGTGCAAGTATGGACTCCAGGGCGGCAGCCACATCGAGCGCTGCAGGAGCACAACGAGTGGAAGATCAGCCAGCAAGGACGACTCACAATCCAATCATCCACGCAAGTCCAGGTCTCCCGCTGAATCCAGGGCCTCCTGAACTGAAACCACCACAGCAGCGGGTGCCCGGCCAGACAGGTGCGCACTCCAGTCGCCACTCATACCTGGCACGGGTTTGTCTGCTCGGGTGAGCATGGCCAGCAGACCCCTTTCCAAGGGCGCCAGACTGCCTTCGCCCAAACCCCCAGCACTGTTGAGCAGGAGAGCGGTCCGGGAGTGGGAGCTCTCATGCTGCAGCGCGGCCAGCACGAGCGAGAGCCCCTCCTGCATCAGTCATCAGTAGCAATCGGTCAGGGGTATGAAGGGGCTTGCGACAGATGCACAGCCGAGCTTTGCCAGACGTCCAAGGTCCCACGCCCGAGGCAAGCTCTGCTCACTCATGCATACTCATAAATCCCTGGCTCCAGCAGCAGATGGCGCTGTCGGTGCCGACACTGTACCCACTGCCAAAGAAACAGCCGGACCAGGCACACAGCACCCCTCCACCGAGCCTCACCCTGGTGAGCACGTCGGCGACCGCCCAGTGGATGATGGCCGGCGCGTCCGTCTCCACGCCATCCCCAACCTTCCAGTAGGCCAGCCCCGCGGCGTGGCGTGCCGCCGCGCCCAGGCCAGGCCCCGTCAGCGCCAGCTGGCGCGGCGCGCTGGGGTCCGGCACCCCCTCCAGCCCGCCCCCCGCGCCGGTCCCCTGCCGGCTGGGGAAGATGCGGGGGTTGATGCGGGGGGCTGCCCCCCTCAGCTCCAGCAGCTCGTCCTCCAGGTCGGGCATGTCGTCGGTCAGGCGGTGCAGGTACACGTCCTCCTGCACCTGGCGCAGCTCCATCTGCAGCGCCTGGCCGACCAGCCGTGCCACCGGCTCCCCCGCGCGCAGCGGCACCACCAGCCCGCAGATGACCAGCACGCCGCCGGAGGCCTCGGGCGAGGCGGCCAGGCCTGGGGCACGGGTTGGGGGAGGGGGAGTGGGAATGGTCGAAGAGCATGTCGCCGCATGAGCGTGTATGTTCACCCAGTACCCCGAGCAGCCGCCGCCATGCATGTCCGAGCCAGCCGACTGTCGGGCCGCGACAGTGACGACATCCCATTCCAAACTCGGACCCCGCCCCCTCTCCTCACCGGCGAGGCCCGTGGAGCGGGCCAGGGCCACGCCGGCGCGCAGCGTGCGCAGCGTGGCGGCGTCGGGCTGATCGACATAGGCCTCCAGCGCCTGCGCTGCGGTCCACTGCAGGGCGGGGTGAGGCTCGGCGTCCTCGGAGGCCTTGTCCACCCACGTCGGCCAGTGTCTCTTGAACGTGAGCTGGACCTGCACAGGGGTGGCGAAGTTTGGAAGGTGAGATTCAGGGCGCTCAGCCAGGGCCAGTGGCGGCCCGAGTGTGGACTGACGGTGTGTCTCACTGTGCAACCGACATCCCTGCGTCAAGCTTTCTACCTCGAACCCCCCTCAGCCTCATACAGACTGAGCTCTGTTCAGGTTCCAGCCCTCCCGCGGGGGCCCAAGTGGTGCCCGATTGCACTCGCAGGACCTCCTCCCACGCACACCACCGACCAGATCCCCCACACGCAACAACCCAATCCCACCTGCTTCCAGGCGGCTGCCTCGTCGCCGGACTGAAAGTCGACTCCAGCCAGGCTTACGAGGAAGGCGAGGGCGGGGTCGGGCCCCAGGGTGGCGTGCACACCCAGGAACAGGCGCGCGACCCTGGCCCCCGCTTCGTCCCCGGCTCCATTTCTGACGAGCGGCACCAGGCCCAGGCGCAGGGGCCAGCCCTGGAGCAGCACCACGCGCGCGGCCTCGCCCAGGTCGGCGGCCGAATCGCTGGCCGGATCGAACAGCAGGACGGCGGTGAGCAGGTTGCGCCGCAGGCCCGGCAGGCGCCCCGAGAAGGAGGGCACCAGCAGCGACTCCAGGCGCGCTGGCCAGCGTGCATAGCGCGCGTCGGACTCCAGGTCGTTCAGCCAGGCGACGGCGCGCCCGGAGGCCAGGCGCAGCCGGGGCCCGGCCTCGGCGCCGCGCGGCGCGCCTGCGCCCCGCGTGGTGCGCGCCAGCAGCGCGGCGCGCGCGGCGCCGGCGCCCAGCCCCGCCTCGCGCGTCAGCGCCGCGTGCAGGGCCAGCTCGGCGCGCACCTTGCCCAGCAGGTCGTGGAGGGAGAGGTCGCGGGCGCGCAGCAGGCGGCCATTCACTGCCAGCATGCCGGAGGCGGGGGGGAGGAGGCGCTGCAGGAGGTCGACCGCCCGTCTGCACGGGGTCATGGCTCGGTGAGTGATTGGTGCACCGGGTGTCGCCGCCCAGTCAGGCAGACAGCGTAACAACAGAGCCCCGGCCCGGTGCAGCCCTTGCACCACCCCCCGACGCACGTCAGGTTCTTGGGTACGTGCACGGCTGACAGGAGGGGAGCGTATGACGGCAGGTTCTGCGCCAGCTCCACGAGGACCGCCAGCGGGGAGGCCGGCGCCTCGGCGACGCGCGCGGCCGCCTGCAGGCCCAGCCGACGGAGCTGGCGCTTGGTCAGCACCGTCTCCGCCGCCGCGCTGTCCCGCCAGGCCTCGAGCTGGGCGTGCAGGGCCTCCAGGTCGCCCTCGCCGGCGGGCACGCGGGCAGCTCCCACGGCTGCAGTGCCTGAAGGCGCGGTGTCCTCTGCGCCCGCAGGGTCCCCACCTGCGTCCGCTGCGGCCTCGGACGCTGGCTCAGACCCCTGCGTATGGGGACAAGAGGGACAGTCGTCAGATGTCGGAGACGTCATGACCCTTTCCCATGCGAGATGAACGAGTCTTTTACTCCACCGTCAGCATTGTTCCACCGCCCTCTCTCCCCGCCCTGTCACAGCCTCCTCCCCCCTCAACCTGCCTTGTCGTCTGCGGCATTGTACTCCATGTTCTTGATGGCCAGCTCGACGCCGTACCCCGGCAGTACCAGGGAGGAGCCAGCATGCAAGCAGGGGGAGCTGTCGTCGCCCGCACACGCGACCGTGGCCAGGGGCCGCCAGGCGTAGGTGATTTTGCCTGAATAGGGTCTCGAGGGTGGGTCTTGGTGCTTGCTGACATGGACAGGCTCACACGCCTCCACGACTCCGCCTCTCCTCACTGACGGGTTTGCACAGGGTTCACCACCAGTCCTCCAACGAAGAGATCCCTTGCGATGCATCCCTTCCGCTCCCCCTCCCCCCCCTCACGACCCCAAGCCATGCCCACCTGCGCTGGCCAGCGCCCGCAGCTCTGCATGGAAGGCGGCTCCGCACGCGTTCCCCAGCGGCGCATACAGGGCCACAAAGGGAACCTCTGGCGCCCCCTCTGGCGGCCCGGGGTGCACGTGATCAAACGCCCGTGGGCCCTCGCTCGCGCGGCCCGTCGCAGGCGCCGCCAGCGCGGCTCGGAGCGCTGACAGGGACAGGAAGGGGGCGCCGCCCACACTGGCCCAGCAGCAGGGCATGCTGGGGCTGGCGTCCCCCAGCTCACGGGCCGCGGCGGCGTGGAAGAGCTCGGCCCTGGGGCTGTGCAGGCGCGCAGCCACCTCAACCCCCAGCAGCCTCCTGCTGGGCTCGTCGGGAGGCAAGGACCTGGCCTGCCGCAGCACGTGTTCAAGGCAGTCGGTGCTGTCCTGCGGCAGGGTGAAAGCCCCTGCAAAGCTCCAGAACGCGGCGGTGTCCTGCGCAGCCTGCGAGGAAAGCACATGACTGGCGCTCTGCAGGGTGCTGGGTGGACTGCCTGCGACAGGGCTCTACGAAATGAATTCTCCAGCTTCACATACGCCGAAGCAGCATTGCTCGTGCAGCCTACTCAAGCTCTCTGCCCCATGACAACACCTCCACCCACCAGGAACTCCGCTGCCTCGTGGGCAAAGGTGCTGGAATTCCATTTGGCTCGCAACTGGATGTCTGCACCCCTCCCCACATCAGCCAGACTTGGATGCAGCAGCACCAGGGTGGTCAGGAGGACGCACGCAAGTGCACACTGCCCAACCCCCATGGGTGGTGTTGCCTGTGCCGAACTCGATCACCCGAGCGTCGGCTCTCCCACCATGTGATCAGTCAGGCGATGGAATCGAGCACCAGAGTGCAGCAGTAATGTATCAACCTGCCCAGCAATGTGCAGTGGAGGAAAGCGATCGGCGAGGCAACAGCCCAGCACTGCTTTTGTCCCACGTTCGAGAGCCATCACTTTACGCGCCCTGCCGGCCGGGTCACCAGTCTCTTAATCCAGCGAAGAATATGGAGTCTTGTCAGAAGCAGTCAGCTTTCTACTTGAGAAACTAACTACTTCGAGATAGCTGGTGGGAAGCACAACATGGCGGTGAGTGGGCGTGTAAGGTGAGGGTGCTTGCGACGGCGATGGGCGGACTGGTTGAGTTCTAAGTCATGCCTCGGCTCCCCTGCAGAGCGAGGACGTCGAGAACATTACGGAAGGGGTGGCAGACATCGCAGGTAAGATCAGCTGTCCCTGCATGGACACGTTGAGCGGTAAAAATCGCTGCTGAGGAGCTGCCCCGTCCCCCAGGCCAGTAGGTTACTCCTGACGTTCCCCTACATATGCTTCCCCCTTGAATCTGCAGTGAACGATGATCTCAACCTGGAGTTTGGGAAGAAGGTGCGGTCCGAACTGGGGTCCGGATAATAGTTCATTGCTTTGTCCAGAATCCCGTCAGGCCCCCACCGTAGGTCACTTGCTCCACACCCTCCTACCGCCCCTCACTACCGCAGAAGAAGAAGAAGACGGTGAAGATCAAGGAGGAGCTGGTAGATGAGGCCGAGGCACTGGAGGAGGATGACCTGGACCTCAGCATGGAGCTGGGCAAGAAGAAGAAGAAGAAGAAGGCCAAGGTGGGCGCGGGGAGCGTGGCACGGGGGTGTCGCGGCCCAATTATCTTGTCGCCCCTGCCACGCCTGATGACTCATCCCTTTACTCGCAGGCCAAGGATGAGGACTTTGGGCTGGAGGCCGCGGAGGGCCCGGAGAGTGTGGAGGGCAGCCAGGCCAAGGCAGGGCTCCCCTGGGATGGGTCGGACCGCGACTACACATACGAAGAGCTGCTGGGTGAGTGGAGGGGGGGGTGCATTTTATGTCCTGGCGCTCTATCGATACCGGCGCCCTCCTCCCCTCTCTTGTGAGTGAATGTATGCTCTGCGTTCGATTCAGGAGTTCCCTCCCCGTCCCCCCACCCCACCCCACCCCCGCCCTCTAGACCGCGTGTTTGGCATCCTGAAGGAGAACAACCCGGAGCTGACAGGCGAGCGGCGCAGGACCACGCTGAAGCCGCCCCAGGTGGCGCGTGAGGGGACCAAGAAGACGGTGTTCACCAACTTCATGGAGCTGTGCAAGTCCATGAACAGGAACCACGAGCACGTCCAGGCCTTCCTCCTGGCGGAGCTGGGCACATCTGGTGGGTCCCGCGCCGGGTGGATGGAAAGTGGGCCTGGGAGGATGGTGGCTGCGCACAGGCTCTGTGGCCCCTGGCGGCATGCCCCACCTGTGCGTTTCGCGGGCTGTGGAACACGGTGACCCCCCGCTTCACGCTGCAGGCTCCCTGGATGGGCAGCAGCGACTGATTGTGAAGGGGCGCTTCCTGCCCAAGGCCTTCGAGGGTGTGCTCCGGCGATACATCAACGAGTGGGTTTGGTTGGTGGCGTCCGGGGTCCGGGATCATGGGATACAGGAGAGCTGATTTTGCGTGTGCTGTGCCGCTCCCTGCACAGGCACCAAGTGCCCTGCGTCAGGGAGAAGCCTTTTACGAGAAACGGGGCCTGGTCCATGCGGCCTCCGAGCCTCTCCTTTGCCCAATGCAATGCCTGCTTGTGCTCCCAGCTTGGGTCCCCCCTTCCCTGGTTTCAACACCCTGTCTCTCCAACATGTATGACCCCAGGTACGTGCTGTGCAACTCCTGCAAGTCGCCCGACACGTTGCTGGATCGCGATGCATCCACCCGCATCATGTTCATGCGCTGCCAGCAGGTGAGGGCATGTGTGTGTTTGGGGGCCAAGCGCCGTGTGCCCTCTGAAAGGTACGGGGATCGTCAGACAGCGGCCCCTGGCTCATTTCCAGCGACCCCGACCCTCCCCCTCCCCCATCCTGGAGCCCAGTTCCCAGCCCGTCTCCTCCACACACCCATCCCCAATGCCCGCAGTGCGGGGCCTCCCGGACGGTGTCTGCCATCAAGGCGGGTTTCCAGGCCCGCACCGTGTCCCGAAAGTCCCAGCTCAGGGGCTGAGCACGTGCAAGGCGCGGTGGGCCATGCCGTTGTCCCTCCTGGTGTTGTGCAGATCCACAGGGAGAAGGCAAGGGTGGGGGAGGAGAGGTGGACGGAAGAGAGAAGCTGAGCGTGAATGGCTGGTCAGGGGGAGGGCACGGTGCCGTGCCATGAAGTGAGGGGTTTGTACAACAGAGGCTCCAGGGCTGCACTCGGCAGTGCAGTCAGCAGCACTGCCCCGCCAGGCGAGGCGCCCATCGGGCCGCGGCGGTGTTGCATCAATGGCGGTCCATGTTGCGCAGGGTGACGGCGGCGGCGGGGTCCTGCTTGTTCAGGCCGACGAAGATCCAGTACTTGAAGTAGGAGTCGAGGCAGACGGGGACGATTGACACAAAGATCTGAATGCTGTCCTCCTGCAATGCGCGTGGTGGAGAGGAGGGGGTCGAGGCGTCACTCGCACGGCAGTGTGGAGGGACGACCCCAGGGTTGGACTTGCCTTCAGGCTCACGCAATACATGTGCCGCCCCCCTTCCGGGCATCCATGGGCAGGCTCTTCCCGGTGGACCTCCCCCACTTCCCCCTGATCGGTTCCTGGAGGTCTCGCCGTCTTCCATCCCCTCCCACCCGACCCATCCCCACCCCGGCGCTCACGCTTGGGTGGAAGCCATAGTGCTGGGTGAAGAGCTGGGCGGCCGCAGTCCACCCCTCCTCGCTGTGGTAGCCCAGCAGCGTGTCGGTCACAAGGATGATCAGGAAGGCCTTAGCGGTGTCTGCGGGGAGGGAGAGGGGGGGAATGGAAGGCGGCAGTGCATTGCAAGCATGGCTGCAGCAGAGGCCACAAGCCTGCGGCTGCTGGACCAGTGGCATGCACGCCCTCAGGCATACCATCACTCCAGCGGCCCTCCAAGCTTGGCAAACAAACGGAACAAACGCTCGCGCGCACACCTGAGAGGCCGGACAGGATGCGCCCGATGGTGCGGAACAGGATGGTCCTCTGGCTGTTGTTCTGCAGCAGGGCGGCGAAGATGAGGCTGCCGGTGACGGAGTCGGACACCAGGTTGGTTAGTGCCGCCCGATTGTAGGCCTTGTACTCCCCTGCGCCCAGGAGAGGGATATAAGGAGGGTGAATTGGGGTGATTGTCGGCGGTTGCACAGCTCGGCAAGGACGCATAGGCACTTGCATCTGCTCTTTCCCACGAGGCGCCGAGACCCAGCCGTATCAATCCAGGAGCCTCAATTACACTGCTGCACAGAATGTATTCGCCCTACTGTAGGCTGCCTACTCCATCCGAGATTCCAAAACCCGGACCCCCATTCCCCCACCCGGCCCCCCTCTCTGCACCTTGGATGCGCTTGGCCTCCGCCCGCAGGTGCTCCAGGACCCCGGCATCGGACAGCGGGGGCGCCTGGCCCACCGTGGCCTCCATCTGGAGGCGCAGCTCCTCGGCGTGAATCTCCTCAACCGCCTCGAACTTCTGCTGGTCCGACATGGCAAACGCCGCGGGGTTGACGCCCGCAGCGTAGGTCCACAGCGGCTCTGCCAGCAGCCGGCTCACCGCAAAGCCGGCGACGATCGACACCCCAAAGATGAGCCCTGAGCGGGAATTGAAGGGGGGGAGAGGGGCCCATGGGATCAGGGTAGTGACATTCTGTCCGGCACTGTGGCAGACATAGTTATTCCGTGGAATGCAGAGCCCAAACACCCTTGACCTCCCTTGTCCTTGCACCTGCATACTTGACGGCCTCCCGCGACTCAAACTGGTTGGTAGCGGCCTCGATGAACACCCTCTCCTCACTGTCCTGCTCATCAAAGGCCAGCCTGGAAAAGAAGAAGGGCGCAGCAGGTCAGGGAGGAGGCTTGTAGGTTACATGAGGGCGCTCCTGCCAGCCTGCTCCCAAAAGGACCCCCCTTCACGTTGTCTACGCTCACCCCCTACCCCCACCCACCTCCACACCAGCACCCACCCACCTGTCGCGGATGCCCTGGAAGTCGACGATGGGGCGCAGCCACTCGTCTCGCGTGACGCTGCGCCGCCCTTTCCTCGCCCGCCGCTTCTTGATCACGGCGCTGCGCAGCGCTGCAATGTCCTCGGCGTCGTCCAGGTCTGGCTCAGCCTCGCCCTTCCACTCGTCCCAGTCCTGGTCATGGCCTTGAGGGAGGAAAGGGCGGCCCGAGGAGGAGGTGGTGTTGCAAATGAATCAGTGTAACACATCCAAAACATATCCAAGTGCTCAGACTGGCTATCAAGTGCGCCGCTTGCCAAGCTGCATGCTCAAAATGTACCCATGCGAGGGACCAGGGCGCCGCACCTGCCCAATCACTCCACTGGGAGGGCACCGCTGGGCCCCCCTGCTCCACGCTGGCCTCAGGCGGCGCAGGGGCCCCTGATTCCGGGGCCTGACGCCGTACACGGGACAGGCCGGTCCATTTGGAGAGCTTGGACCTAAGTTCGTCGCCACCGGGGTCATCCCTCGCCCTGCATTTCCCAGATGGGGTCCGGGAGATTCTGGGGAGGAGCACCGCCCCAGGCCAGGGATTGGGGGCTCGCTGGGTGAGCCACATGACCCTGCACCTCGGTGTGGATTCCACGGCGAGACTTCTGACTCAACCCATGCCAGGCATCGTCACTTCGCTACATACGCCCGCCGCAATGAAAACCTAGGTCGCAGAGGCGGAGCTGTCTCGTACACCGCCACCAGTACTCGACAATGCAGCCCGTGAAGAGCTTGTTGTAGTCTGCTAGGAGAATGTATTGCAATTGTGGAGGTGTTTGCTTGTGGCAAGGGGCTTCCCGATGGGAATCAGGAGTGTGATGGGGAGGCGCGGGAATGGCAATGGCGTGTCATGGAGCCCCCCGGATCATCAGAGGTCGATAGGCGCGCATTCTCATATCATAGTGGGTAGCGAAGCTGCGACGGGCCGACATCCAGGTCGACAGAGAAATGGTTTCTCAGTAGATCGATATCCATGCTCCACTAGCCGGCCTGGCCGGCTCTCGAGCAATGCATGGCGGTGCGGGGACCACGAAGGTGTCCCCTTGGCCCAGAGCAAGCCTTCCCCTGATACAGAGACCCCGCACTTGGCCGACCAGGGTGTGCAACGGCCCAGGTCGCCACCAGGTGGCTGCCGCCATTCGACACACTTGGAATGTGGAAGAGGATGCGCCTGCGGCTCACCATGGGGAGAATCAGGACCAAAGTCAAGCCGCTCCTCCTCCGGAACAGCGCACAGCCATCCTGAAGGCAGCAAAGGTGGCAACGCATGGCCTCCAAGAGTCCTCTCGCCCCCTTGGTGGGTCCCGTGCATTGCTTTGTTCATTGTCGATGGGACGAGCTGATGCTGTGACTCGTGTTTGTGTGCGTGAGTGTCCAGGGGCAGCCGGGCCCTGCCGTCCCTCTGTCTGCCGCCCGTGCCTCGAGCCACGAGCCCGCCACCCCTCCCACAGCGGACTACATGGCCCTGCCTGCCAGCCAATACTCCGTGCTGGATGCCGAAACTGTGGAGCGCCTGGACGACGACACCTTCCTCTGCCATGTGGCGGGCCTCACCTTCTTCAGCTTCGAGGTTCACCCTGTGCTGACAGTCTCCGTCAGCGTGGGCCCCACCGGCCCCACGGTGGACCTTCTGAAGACCGAGGTGGGGAGTGTTGCATCCTAGCGGCTGGGGAAGCATCTGATGAAGGGTGTGACCCCTGGCATGTTCAACAAAGGACCCAGCCCAGCAGCACGACCAGCCTCCACATGCCTTCCCCGGCGACCCCACTGCAGCTGCGGGGTTCCCGCACTGTGCGCGCCGCCAACGAGAGGTTCACTGCCCGGATGAGGAACCGGGTCAGTTGGAAACCGGGCGAGGAGGAGGGGGCTCGTGTCCTCGTCAGCGACGTCGACCTCACGGTCACGCTGGAGCTCCCAGGCTGGTTCCCGCTACCCCGAGGCGCCGTCCAGGCGACAGGCGAGTGGTGCGGTGTCTGAAATGGACCTGAAGGAGGTGCGGGCAAGCTGCCTGTGTTACGTGCCCTGTGCATGCGCTTGGGAGTATGGGAGGGAGATGTAATCCGAAACCGGCGCCGTACACCACCCCCCAACCGCAGGGAATGCTGTGCTGGGGCGAGTTCTGGACGTGGCTCTCCCTCGATTCCTGAAACAGCTCGAGAAAGACTACCAGCTGTGGGCGGAGGGAGCCCATGAGGAGAGGATTCTGGATATGGAGTAGCCGGATGCCTGGAGGGTACCAGGAGAATCATTTCGTGTAGTAGCTTGAGAGACGGTTGTCCAATATCGGCCGCTGACCATTCTCAGTGCCGACCTGTCAGGCAGCATCACCAATCCTTTCAGAACAACAGTGTGATGATTGAGGGCAATTGATGTCTTTGAGGTGCATCCTAGATATGTGGGCAAAGTGGTGGGCATATAAATGCCGCTCTTTGTCAAAGCAGGGTAGTTGACACCAACCGATTCACCTCCGCAGCCCCAGCCCGGCTCGGAATTCGCCCCCCCCCCCCCCCGCCGATTCCCGGGATGAGCGGCCTACCTACATCCAGGCCGTAATGATCAGATAATTCGTACCTTCAGACCATTATATGCCTATGCGCGTCCTGGTGATCGGCAGCGAGGGGCCCAGTTGGCGCTCGGCCCGTCCTATGCTGGCCCACGATGTTCGCCCGTCAAGCGCCCGGTCGATTCCCAGAGTAGTTGAACGCTGTGCCGAGCCCCTGTGCCCTGTATCCCCCACCATGTGCCACAGCGCCTGGTGCCTGTAATCCTGCTGCAATGAAGAGGACCCAACGGGAGGAGGGCTGGCTGCCCCGGGCCACTACCGCCAACGTCATAGGGGTGGTGCTCTTCTTCTGCTTCGTTGGACCCGCCATCTTCCACCCGCCCTTCCCCCTGCCCCGCCTGCACGCGGTCGACAGCAAGGGACAGGACACGGATGCCTCCTCCCGCTCCTGGACTGGGGGCTTCGTCCAGGTGGCCAAGAACAGCCACGCCTACCTGCGTCCCCTCTTCCCTGGCGCGTCGGGGGCCTCGTTCAATGCCAATGTGTCATCTCAGTACAGCGAGTATATCCAGGAGCACGCGCAGTCGGTGAGCAGGGCAGGGCATGGAGTTGTCGGGGCGGGGTCGGTTCCCCCTAGGTCCACGCTCCTCGGAATCCGTGGTGGGTGGGGGGTTGAGGCGGTGCAGGCCTGCCGCGGCAGCAACCAGGTCCGAGCCAGAACGGTCTCCCCACACCCCACTGCAGCTCAAGGACACGAAGTCGTTCATGCACGAGTGGATAGAGAAGGACATGCTGCCATGGAAGCAGGACGGCATCACGCTGGTGAGGGAGGACTCATGGTGGCGTGGTGCTGCGGCTGCGAGCCAGGGTTAGACAGGCATAATGCTGCTTACAGCTGTGCGTGCAGTGATGGACGGTGTGCAGGGCACCCCTTTCCCTGATCCTGATCCTCTTTCCTCCACGCATCGTTCCTCTCACACCCAGGAAATGCTGGAGGAGGCCGAAAACATGTACGACATCTGCGATGGCGACATGTTCCGTTTCCAGATCATCTCCGGCAAGCTCTATGTCTACCACGTTACCGCCCGGGGCTTTGGTTGGTACCCCGCCCAGCTGGGGCCTGGCCACGTGGCGGCCAAGGGGCGGGTGCCCTACGCCATGCTCCTCCTCCTGGACGTCCTGCGCCTCTTCCCAGGGCAGGTGTGTGGGCCCGCGTGTGTGAGCATTCCTTGTTGGGGGGCGGGGGCCAATGAGGGGGTGAGCATTGGCCTGGGCGTCGGTGGGGTGTGGGTCTGGAAGTATGAACGCACACCCCTGCGCCACGACCCAGCCCGCCCGCACCCACCCACATATACATCACACCCCTCGTCCTCGCAGATCCCGGACCTGGACGCGGTGATGCAGCTGGGCGACTTCACCTGCATCGCGCAGGAGCCTGGGGCGGGGCGCACGCCGGTGCCCATGTTCGGCTACACCACCAGCGAGGGGTACGCTGACCTTGTCCTCCCCGACTTCACCTACTACGGGCACGAGTACGACTACCTGATGGACCCCTGGGGCAACCCCGCCCACGGCTGGCCGGCCCAGGCCTCGGTGCTGCTCACAAAGTACGCCAACGTCTCGCTGGCGTCGCGGCTGCCGCAGGCCATGTGGCGCGGGCGCACCATGGACAGCAACTACCCGCACCGCGACGCGCTGCGCCGCGCCTTCCTGGACTGCGTGCGCGCGCTGCGCGCCTCGGGGCGCGAGGATGACGCCGCGCTGCTCAACGTGGACCGGGAGCCCATCGTGATGCAGGACTTTGACGACTACCGCTACCAGGTGCACATCGAACCCTTGGCCTGGGTGTCCAACATCCGGCACAAGCTGGCGGGGGGGTCGGTGGTCATGGCCACGGGCATCAAGTACTACGAGTGGTTTGCGCGGGCCCTGGTCCCGGGAACCCACTACGTGGAGATCCCCGCGCGCGTGCCGGAGATGTGCGCGCAGGCCGTCGACGTGGTGAGGGGCCTGGTGGTGTGGATGCGCAGAGTTCGTGGCAGGGATGGGGGGGCCGGGAAATCTGTTCTCACAGGGGGCAAACGTGCAGGCCCAGGTGGCTGACATTCAGGCGCACAGCACTTGTGTGAGGCCTGTCGTTCGTGCGCGTCGTGTTTTGTCACCAGGCGTCGGGTGCCGTGCCGTCTGCAGCAGCACCCCAAGCTCCACATGTGCCTACCGGCTGCCCCACCGGCACGAGTGCAAGGCAACACCCAGGATTCTAACCATCAATCCTCTCTCCTTTCCTCCCCCCGCGAAAGGTGCGCGACATGAACGCGCTGCTGGCTCGGGAGGGCGGCGCCGGCAAGGCCGAGGCCGCCACCGAGTTCGAGCTCACGCCCACGCTGCGCAAGGCTAAGGAGGTGTGGGCCACCATGCCGCGCCTGAAGGAGCTGGCCAAGTCTGCGGGCGACGCGGAGGCGCGCAGCGTGGAGCTGCAGCGAGGTGCGTGTCGTTGTTTTGTCGTGGGAGCAGAGGAGGGAGGGGATGATTAGAGGCAGGCGGGCAGCTCGGTATGCTTTGCAGTGCGCCACCACTCTCCGACGTGCATCGGCGGCGAAGGCGGTGCCCCACCTCGATTTCCCATTCTTGCTCTCCAGCATGTCCTGGCTTCCTCGCCCCTCCCCGGCCCCTGATGTAAGCAAGCATGCTCAAACCCCCTTCTCCAAATCCCCACCTGCAGGCGGGACGTACCGCTGGGGCAGCAACCTGACCCCCACCCAGATCGCGGCGGCGGGGCAGGCCTTCGTGCGCGACAAGGTGCGCATGCAGGACCTGCTGCTCTACACGCGCGACATGCTGCAGGCGTACGCCGCCGCGCAGCGCTTCACGCCCGCGCCGCGGCGCAAGGCGCGCTGCGTCGACGGCGCGGCCATGCTGGAGGAGTTTGGCACGCCATATGCGCAGGACGCGGAGGAGGTGGCATACGCCTACCCCTGGCTCAAGGACTTTGACGGTGGGTGCGCGGATGAAGCGTGATCGTGCGAGCGGCGGTGCACGCCCGTTCCATCGTGCGGGGCTGAGTGGGGACCTTGGCGCGGCATGGTCGGGAGGACGTGGAGCGTCGCTCGCAGGCATACAACGAGTATATTCTAGGATCAGGCTCCGATCATCTGCGCCACCGGCTCCCGCTTCCTCAGCCCCGCTTGCAACTGGCATCTTAGATTCCTGCCGGTACCAGGCACCCAAACACATGCAACTCCCAGTCCAGCCCTTCCCCTCACCCCTCTCCTTTCCTGAATGTTCAATCCCCCTCTCTGCCCGTCTGGTTGTAACAATGTGGGCCCTGCAAACACCCTGGCAACATCCATTTCTGCACGCCACAGACCCGAATGGCATGGCATGCATGCCTTCCCCTCAGCGCTCAGTTTGTCTGCGAAAGGGTGGGGCCGCCGGGGATGGTTGTGCAAGCGTTCAAACGCTGGTCGCTGGATGTATATAAGCGCCAGGTATGCCCCGCCTGTCTCAGGGTGCCGTGGAGCCGAAAACACTCCATCCCTCGCACAGATCACCAAGCTCCACACACTCACCCCCTCTGCAACCTAATACACTCTCCAGCCCCTCGATTCCCCCCAAAGCCCTCGCACCACCAACCCACCGTGCTCATGGACTCGGCGGTGCTGTGGGCGGCGGCCTCCCCCCCCCGCGCCTGCTCCGGCTTCATGGCGGGGAAGAGGAGCACCTCCTTGATGTTGTTGGTGTCGGTGAAGAGCATGGTGAGTCGGTCGATGCCCAGGCCCCAGCCGCCGGTGGGCGGCAACCCGTACTCCAGCGCGGTGCAGAAGTTCTCGTCCACAAACATGGCCTCGTCGTCGCCCGCCGCCTTGGCCGCGGCCTGCTGCTCGAACAGCTCGCGCTGGCGCAGCGGGTCGTTCAGCTCGGTGTAGGCGTTGCACACCTCGCGGCAGTTGACAAACAGCTCGAAGCGCTCGGTCATGCCGGGCAGGGAGCGGTGCCTTTGGTTTGTGGTTGGGGTGTTTGGGGGGAGATGTCGTGAGGGTGAGGAGAGGGGAGTAGTGGAATGAAGTCTGGCGGGGGTGTACCGCATGGGTGCGGAAGATGGGCGAGGATGGCAATGGAAATCACCCAGCCCTGCCGGACCGTCGAGGGCTGCGTGCTCTTGACCATCGACCCATGGTCGCTGAGCGGCATGCTCGGCGCCAGCAGCGACCCCGCATCACAGGATCAAGCTGTTTGGCTCAGCCCTCCCCACCCACTCGGACTCCCCAGGGCCCTGACACCCATCGGACCCCCACCTCAATGAAACCAACAACGCCCGCCACCCACCACTTGGCCAGGGGGCTCATGATCTGGGGGTGGTCACAGATGAAGGTGGGGTTGGTGCACCCCGTCTCCAGGAACTCCCCCACCAGCTTGTCCAGCAGGCGGGCGGTGGACTGCGGGGGCGGGCACTCCACGCCGCGCCGCCGGCACTGGTCCAGGAGGAAGAGACGCGCCTCCTCGCTCTCCAGGTCCGCCGGCATCTTCACGCCCAGTACCTCCTCCAGCCCGGACACCATGGAGATGCGGCGGAAGGGGGGGGTAAAGTCGATCTGTACCTCGGGCCCCTCGGGGCCATCGGGGTGGTAGCCGATCACGTAGGACCCCGTCAGCCGCAGTGCCAGCCCCGACAGCAGCTCCTCCGTCATGGCCATCACGTCGTTGTAGTCGGCGTAGGCCTGTGGGCATGCCGTGGTTGGTATTGGTGTGTGTCAGGGGTGAGAGGAGATCAGGCATGTGTGCTTGTGGACGAGCAAGTGAGTGGATGGGGGCGCGCTGGGGCGAGGGTGCGATGGCGGAGGCGGCAGGGGCCAGAGGGCGCCAGAACTCGGATGACTCGGTGTTCCAGCCGGCATCCCCTCCGGCCCCACCCCTGCTCCCCGCAATCCCGCCGTCTCTGAATCCCACCTGGTAGGTCTCGATGGTCGTGAACTCGGGGTTGTGGGTCAGGTCGATGCCCTCGTTCCTGAACTGCTTGCCAATCTCGTACACGCGCTCCATGCCGCCCACCACCAGCATCTTCAGGTACAGCTCGGGCGCGATGCGCATGTAGAGCTGGGGACGGGAGGGAGCGGGTGAAGGGGCCGAGAGTTCCAGGACTCGTGGGTCTGGCAGCTCCAGCGACAAAGTTTGCAAGCTCGATTGTTCCCAGAGCAACCACAAAGACCTCTGGATCTGGTGTCACCAACTCAGTGTCCAAGCTGGCAGGGCGTGTCAGCCCTGTCAGTCCTGCATCAGCCACACTGCAGTACCTGTCCTGATCCATCTGCCCCCTCCTCACCGCACCTGCATGTTGAGATCGTTGTGGTGCGTGATGAAGGGCCGGGCGGTGGCGCCGCCCGCCAGCTTGTCCATCATGGGCGTCTCCACCTCCAGGAAGTCGCGGTCGTCAAAGAAACGGCGGATGTAGCTGATGATGCGCGACCGCGTGCGGAAGATGTCTGACACGGCGGGGTTGGCGATCAGGTCCAGGTAGCGCTGGCGGTACCGCGTCTCCTGCGCAGCGCGGGGGCAGGTTGGGAGGAAAGCGTGATGTTGGCGTGGGTTGGAGGCCAGGCAGGTGACGACGCGCCAGCCCACAGCACGCTGCCAGGAGCGATCTCTGAGGGAGGGGGGGGTGCTCAGGGGACCTTTCCCTGGGAGACATGTCCCTGCCCCCCACCCAGAACCCTCGCCCAACCCCTCGAGCTCCCCCACCTGGTCCTTGAGGCCGGTGCGGGTGCCAGGTGCCATATGCAGGCAGGGCGTGAGGACTCGGAGGGAGGTGGGAAAGATAGACAGCTCGCCGCGCTTGGACTTGCCGGGGAAGCCCACGATGCCGACAATGTCGCCGCGCTTGACGGCGTTCATGGCCCCCTGGAAAGCGTCGCCAAAGTTCCTGGCGGGGGTTGGTGGGGAGGGGGCCGGGGATGGGACAGGTGCAGGTTGGTCGGGTGAGGGAGCCCAGCCACCACCTCGGGTCCTTCATCTCGAGCGTCCAAGGTGCTCCTTGTCACCACACTGCCGGCCAGCAAGTCTCGACTCACACTCCATTGAGCACCCCATGAGTCCCCGGGCGCACCTGGCGTCGCACATGACCTGCACCTTGCTGCCGGCCGACCGGAGGTCGATGAACACCAGCTTCGCCCCAGATGCCGCCTTGCGCTCCACTCGGCCTGGGAGGGAGAAGCGGGGAAGCGGGTGGGGTCGTGTGCATGCGGTTGCATCGATGATCCCCAAGGGCACAGGCATGCGCACAAGACCAGGCGACGTCGCCGCCGCTCTCCCGCGAAGCTGCCTACCTGCGAGCCGGACCTCAGTGTCAGTCAGCTGCTCGCCGGCTTCCAGGTCCTTGTACTTGGCCACGTACGCTGGCAGCTGGATGGTGGTCGCAAACTTGTGGGGGTAGGGGTTCTCCCCGCGAGCCTTGGCTGCCATCACAGCCTTGACCCTGAGGGTGATGAGTGAGCAAGGCTGTTGATGGGCAAGCATCGGGCTGCTGGTGCCTAGGCAGATCTTCAAGGACTCCCCCCATGACTAGGCCTGCCCTGTCATTCAGCAACACCCACGCACCGATTCTCAAAGTACTTGGTGGGATCGGTTTCCTCTGTGGCGTCGTCATCCAGAGCGGCCACTGCCGGCTTGTCAGCCTTGGCAGCAGCGGCAGCAGCGGCAGCGGCGGCCTGCTGGGCCTGCGCACATTGTCAAGGAGCCTTGATGGTCACAGCCCCAGGGCCACAGGTTTACCAAGCTGCGAGGCCCCCCACACATGAGGTCACCCGCACACCGATGGAGCACACTGCGCTGCCCACCTTCTTCTCTGCCAGCTTCTTCTCCTTGGACGCCTGAGTCACGCGACGCTTCCACTCGCTGCTCATCGGGATTGTGTGGGAATCGTGCGGATGGCGCTGGATGCCTGGCTGGTGAGGCACTTCCTCCTGAACACAGTTTCCACATGCGGTGAGCAGGGCAGGTCAGCCTCGCGTCCGGGCGAAGACAGCGAGTGTTCGTCCCACTCACCTCTTGCTGAGCTTCGCGCCCGTCTCGTCAAGCAGATCGTCCGAGTACTTCTCGGGCAGCACCCAGCTTGAGGGGTCGGCCATGGTGCTGGTGCGGCGAAGCGTGCTAGGATCTACCAATGCTCTGAAATAGGTTTACGGAGCGGCTCGGCACGTTTACCACATCGCATGCTGCATGAGCCCCGCTCTTGGGGCTATCATCTTTTGAGGGCGCCCAGTTGTTGCATGGTACCGCCGCGATGGTTGACGCGCACGTGCCCTGTGCACCCCCTAGTGCAGGCCAACTCCACCAACCAATGTGAATTGACGCAAATCTGCGTTGATTAAATCTGTGGCATATCATGCTTTTTATACTGTAAAAAGCACCGGCAGGGGTATGAGCCAAGGCGGTCTGTCATGTCGTTTGGTTTGAAGAAGTGAATCTGAGCTGGATGATCAACACCGGCTGTAACAAGCAGGACAATAATGAAATACTAAAATGTTTTTTTTAAACTCTAATCAGAGTGCTAGACGGTCGACTGTGGATGCCGTGCCCGTATCCTGTAATGAATGGCTGCCTCTCACCTCGCGCCCGGGCGCCACCGAGAAGGGGAAGCGGTGCTTAACATGTTTTTGACTCAAGCATGGAGACAGCACACACATTGCGTATGGAACTCATCCTTCGTTCGTTATCAGGGCACTCATTGGTCCAACTTTAGTCTCCAATCGCCTTACAGCTCCAAGGGGGACCGCCGCAGTTGCACCCTGCGGGCCTCTGGACCGCATGGTGCAGGCACTTCAGGGTCATGCCGGGTGCCCATTGCAACATCATCGACACCGAATCTGTCGAGGGGTGTTTGTAGCTTCCCTGCGACCGCCTCAATGCGCGAGAATCGCCCGATCTCAGCCCGGTTGGGAGGTCGCACGGGCATGGCCGTCAGACCAGAGATATCCACAGGCTCTCCAGAACCGTCGCCGAGGCGCTCTGCAGATAACCCACGCCTCAAACGCTCCAAGCTTCTTCTCCAATCCCCATGATGGCGAGATCATGGCCATCGCGCTGCCGGCCCTCCTGGGGGTGCTGCTGGATCCCCTCATGGGCCTCGTGGACACGGGTGTGCAGGCTGGGCGGGGAGTCTGAGAGCCCCGGGCCGCCATGATGCCAGCATGCAATGACGAGGGGGCCTATACAATCGACTCGCACCCCTGGAATTGTAGCGGGCACCCAAGGACGCCCCTCACCGAAGCGCAGTGGTTTGTCACCTCCTCCCTCCTCCCCCCCTCCCCTCAGCCATTGTCGGGAGCCTGGGCACCACCAGCCTTGCAGCAGTGGGCCTGAGTGGCATGGTGTTCAACCTGAGCCTCTTCATATGGTGCGGCAGTGTTGATCTCGTGAATGAGGAGCAGTGGCTGGGATGCGGGTCTTCAAGGAAAAGTGTGGACACTGTTTGGTGTTTTTACGAACGCCCTCCCGGGATAAACGGGGTCTTCGTTGACCTCGAGCCACCCCTTCCTCCCCACAATGCTGCAGGAACTTCCTGCTCTTCACCACGACGCCCAGGCAGGGACCATGCATACGAGCCAGGGTGGTGCGAGCAGCATGCACGCGAGCCAGAGCGTGCCGTCCCCGGTCCTCACCCTAGCTGCCCCCGTTGCACAGGATCGCGACTGCGGTGGGGCGTGATGACAGGGAGGCGGTCAGCCGCGTGGCGGCCCAGGGCCTCTGGATGGCGGTGGTCCTGGGCGTGGGCATGAGCCTGCTGCTCTGGACCCAGGGCGGCGCCGCCCTGCGCGCCATGGGCGCCGGCCCGGAGGTCATGGCCGTGGGCATGCCCTACTTCCGAGCGCGCTGCCTGGCCACGCCCTCCGTCCTCATGTTCTACGTGCTGGCCGGCGTCTTCAGGGGCCTCAAGGACACAAGGTGAGCAGGTTTATGTGGGAGCTGGAGGAGGTTCTCTGGCATGCAGCGCCGGTCAGGGGCCGGGGGGGTTCCGTGCTGTCTGTCCCAGTCCCAAATCCACCACCTGCCTTGTTCAGCCCATCCCTCTGCCAAGCGTCGAGTGCCTGTCCTCCGCCTGCGCCCCGAGCTTAGCCCTGCACCCCTCCCCCCTTCCTCCCCAGGACCCCCCTCATCGCCGGTCTGCTGAGCAACATCGTGCATGTCGCCCTGGACTTTGGGCTGGTGTACTGGGCGGGGTGGGGCGTGCTGGGTGCGGGACTGGCCACTTCCCTGTCCCACTGGGTGACGGTGGCGGTGCTCGGGGCCCTGGTCATCCGCAAGGGCCACCTGAGGTGCGAGGCCTGCCAGGCCTTTGGTATCACTGGCCTCGTGGTGGAGGGTGGGGAGGTGGGAAGGGTGTTGGTCGATGCATGTCGAGTGCGGCAGGGTGCATGCATGCTGCGGCATGCCCTGCATGGTCGAGCATCTGCCTAGCCGCTCTTGTGGCCCCTGGCATCACCTCATCGATCGGCATCATCGGTTCCCCATCTGAGGAGACCCCCCAAACCCTGCCACGCCCCTGCCCTGTTCATCCCCCCCGCCCCTGCCTGAGTGCCAGAGCCCTCTCCCCCCCCTGCAGGCCGCGCGACCTGCTGCGCCCCCCCGACCTGGCCGAGGTCCTGCCCCTCCTGCGGGCGGGTGTCTTGCTCTCCACCCGCATGATGCTGGCCATGGGCACCTTCGTGTACGCCACGCGTGCCATCGCCGGCTTCGGGGCAGCTGCCGTGGCGGGGCACGAGATCCTGAGGACGCTCTGGGTCACCGCCACCCAGGCCTTTTCATCGCTGGACATTGCCACCCAGGTGGGTTGCACTGGGTTTGTGACGCGAGGTGGGCCAGGCATGGGACCACGGTGTGAAGGGTGGTCACAGGGACAACTACTCCGCAGCACTCCCTCGCTGCGTCGCTGAGCCCCTTGGCTTGGGGTGGTGCCTGCCTTTTTGTTCGAGCGTCATTCGATCACGCTCCTGCACGCACGCAGACCCTGGTGGCAAGCTACCTGGGCAAGGGCGACAGGAAGACCGCGTCCGACATCGTAGCGCGCGTGCTGCGCCTGGCGGCCGGCATCGGCGCCCTGCTGGCGGTGGCCCTGCTGGCGGGCAGGCAGGCGCTGCCCACCGTTTTCACCAGCGACCCGGCCGTCCAGGGCCTGGTCACGATGGTGGGTGGGGGCTTTGGGTCGGGGTGCTGCGCCCAAGCTACCGCGGATGATGGCAGACCCTGTATCCACGGCGACCACCCGCTCCAGCGGCGAGGCCCCATCACGCACACACATGTAGGCTGTGTCCTCCCTCCCTCGTCACGCAGGTGCTCCCCCTGGTGGCCCTGGGCATGCCGCTGGACGCGGTGACCGCGGTGTGCGATGGCACGCTGCTGGGCGCGCAGGAGATCTCCTGGCTGTCCAAGACCATGGTGGTGACCTCGGCGGGGGTGGCCCTGGGCCTGATCGCTGCGCAAAAGTACGGCTGGGGCATCCTGGGCGTCTGGGCCGTGCTCAAGGGCCTCACCCTGGGGCGGCTGGCGGGGGCGGCCTGGAGGCTGGCCTCCCCGGCCAGCCCCCTGCAGAGCAGGCCTGCCCCTGCCACGGCCGGCTGACCGTCTCCGTCCCTCGCTCTTCTGTTTGGTAATCAGTACTCGCGTGAAAGTTCCATACACATCCCTCACCCAGTCCCGGTCTGTCAATGGGCATGAGCCCTGTTGGGGGGGGGGATGGGCTTGCATGGGTTCGGCGTGACCGGACATCGCCCACTCCCCGTTACATGGGCACGCGACGCCGCGAAGCGAGCCGGACCCAGCTCCCAATCAGCCTCGGGCTGTCACCGTGCGGGGTCTCGGAACCGGCCCCATGCCAGGGGATGCCACCCCCCCGCTCGAATCTCTTGGCTGGATCCTGGGCACCGGTCGCAACGTGTCGCGCACGGGAAGGTCCCCGGCACCCAACCTGCTGTGAGGCACAGCAGGAACGACGCAATCGAAGGCATCTCCGCCCTACAGCCATTTAGATGCCCATATCGACGCTAATTCCCTGCCCCCTCGTCGCATGCGGCCATATACGCTGACATTGGGGTTTTCTTGCGAGCGGTAGTCGACAGCACCCTTCCCGTCGGAAAGTTGGCAAGGCAGCTGCGGCAAAACCCTGTTTCGGTGTACTCTAACACCCTCAGATATATCAAAAGGATTGTACGGGTCGCGCTTCGCTCGCACCCCAGGCATCCCCGCCCATACATTGGAGCGCCTGAGCCACGGAAGGAGAAGGCGCAGCCAACGATACCGCAGGTGGGTGCATTCTCTGCGTAGCGACGACCTGGATGGGCAGGAGCATCAGCGTTGGACATGTTTGGGGTGTATTGTGTCCCAGCCTCCGCGTTGCAGGGTCGAGGGAGGTGCGTGTAACTCCGGGAACCCCGCATACCGGTGGCTGCCGCAGAATCTGCGGAGCTCTTGAGGACGGATTCCTCCATCTGAGAACGCGGAGCGCCCACCGAACCAGAGCATTACTGCATCCCTTTGTCCAAGACGCGCAGCCTTGAGGTGAGCGGCTTCGTGCTCGGCGACCTCCCGTGTACCCCGTGCGCCTGGTCGGCTGGCCATTGCGGTAGCATGGCTTGCGGAGACCTCAGTGCATTGTTCCAATACCGCGTGTCGCCGTCCACTCGCAGGTCCTGCTGTGCTCCATGTGGCGGAGCGCGTCCGCCTCTGGTCGTACGGGATGGTTGCAGGTGAGGGACATCCTCCAAGATCCTGACAGGGAGGAAGTGATGTGTCACAGGCTGTGCTCACACTCCATCCCCGAGTGCCTTATAGAATTCGCACGCTGCGCCCGCGCAGGACATGCGGCAGACCCTCTGGTACAGGGGGGGGGAGGGGAGTGGTGTCCCAGGCACCACCGCGGCCTGCCAGGATGAGGTCCCCAGTGCCGCGGAATGCTCGCAGGGCACCCTGGCGGGCGATTCACACGGACGCGGTCCCGGCCTCCAGCCCCAGGAGGCGCGCTGCGACGCCCTCCTGCGCCAGCAGAGCGGCTCGAGCTACACCAGCGCGGCCTCCCATGCCAGCGACCTGAGCGCTCCCGGCGACCCACTGCCCTCCCCGCCCACCGAGGCGAGCGAGGAGGAGGGCGACACCGGCCCGCATGGGTGGAAGCACGTGCCCTTCACCGAGGCCGAGGCCTTGGCCACCGAGGCAGGGCTCAGGACACCGGACGCCGCGTGCGACGACTCCCGCAGCCTGCACTCCTCGGAGTCGGGCGCGTCGCTGCGCGGCGAGAGCCCCGCCCGCAGCGCCCGCCGCCGGCCGGAGCCGGCCAGGCGCCGGCCCGGGGCCCCCGCCGCCGCCCCGGGCCCGCCCCTGGCCAGCGTGCGGCGCCCGCGAGAGCCGGAGCCCTTCGCCTCGCCCTTTGCGCGCCCGGCCCCCGGCGCCTCAGCGCGCGGGCGTGAGCGGCATGCCAGGGCCGGCGAAGGGGGGCGTGCCGCGCTGGCCGAGCCTCAGGCTGCCCCGGCGGAGCCGGGGCAGCCCTACACCCCCAGGCGGGCGGGGGGAACCCATCCTGCCCGGCCCCCTTCCTGCAGCGGCAGCGACTCGCCCAGCACCAGCATGAGCGAGTCATCCATGCGCAGCCCAGGCGAGGGATGGGTGGATTGGTTGTTTCTTGGGGTGATGGGGGGTGTTGAGAGGCGGGAAGAGGTCCTTGTCGGCCATTGGGGTGTTTGAAAAGAGGTGTCCAGGCCCCCTCAGGAACTTCCCCACGCTCCCTCAGCCTCCCTGGGGCCATGGGTGTTGGACACCGTGGCCCCCTGTCCTTAAACCTGCACTCGCCACGGCTTCACAGCCACTACTCCAGAATCCCCCCCTGCCATCTCCCCCTACGCCCCTCCCGGCCCGCAGACTCGCTGCTGGATGTGGGGCACAGGTCGGGGCGGTTGGGCCCGCGGGCCTGCCAAGCGGGGCCCTTCCGCGCCGTCAACCCGCTCGCGCTGCACATCCCTTTCCCCCACCGTGGCGGGGACGGCGGCGGGGGCGGCTCACACCCCGTCCGCGCCGCCAGCATGGGCTCGCTGCCGGCGCCGCACCGACGGCGCGCGAGCGTGGAGGCGCCGGCGCGGCGGGGCTCGTGGACGCAGGCGCCGGCGCGGCGGGGCTCGTGGACGCAGGGCCTGGCGCCTCCCTGCGCCTGGGTCCCCTGCGCCGTGCCCGAGGGCGCCCCCGACCTGGAGAGGTTCCTGCAGAGCTCCACGCCGGTGCTCCCCTTCCACGACGACGCCGAGCTGGCCGCCGCCAGCCTGGTGAGCGTGCCTGCATGCATGCGGGCGGTCGAGGGGGAGGTCGGGGCCGGGCCCCTGGGCAGATGCCCGATGCTCCCCGGGACCGGGGCCGGATGCCTGTTCATGGACAGGGGTGACACACCCTGGTCGAGGCGCTCCGCACCCTCTCCATCCCAGTCACCCCCAGCCCCACCCCCACCCCCTCAACAGGCGGACGTGTGGATGGTGTACGAGGAGTCCAGCGCCTTTGGCCTGGCCACGCCGCGCCTGGGCGCGCCCGTCGGCCCCTGCAGCGCCGCCTACCTGCCCTTCCTCTCCGCGCTGCACACCTTTGCCCCCGAGGACGCCCCGCCCCACGGCAGGCCGGGCGCCGCCATGGCCGACCCCGGCGCGGCCGACAGCTGGGCCGCGCGCGCGGCGCCCAGCTTCTCCTGGACGGCGGAGGGGCACATGACGGAGCGCGTGCCGCTGTGGGAGCAGGTGCGCAAGCTGCGCGTGCGGGAGGAAAGCGCGGTGTGGGGCGCGGCGCTGGCCGACCTGCACCCCTTCTCCTGGTTCGCGGTGGCCTGGTACCCGCTGTACAGCATCCCCGACTCGCGCGCGCGCGCGCGCTTCCTCACCTTCCACTCGCTGGCGCCGCTGGTGGACGCCGCGCGCGCCGCGCGGGCGCGCCGCGCCGCCGCGCCGGGAGGGCCGGGGGGCGACCCCCCCGCGCCGCCGCCGGCCACCCTCGCGCTGCCGCCCTGCGGCCTGGCATGGTACACCACGGGCGGTGGGCGCGTGGGCGTCTGGACCCAGCCCCGCACCGCCGTCGACCTGCCCATGGGTGTGTGTGTGTGTGT